GAGTCGGGCCGGCCGGCGCCAGCCGATCAACGTCATTACCAGCGCAATATCGCACCACTTCCTTACGTCGTCCGCTGTGTCACTCATAACTGAAGAACACAAAATGTGCGCTCACGAGGCAAGGAAGCGTAAGAACTTTCGTACCAGGCATGTACACAGTTAACAAAGCCAACAAAACAGCTAAAAGCACAATGTGGCCAGCGTCACTAGCAGCATTGCTACATTTAGCAAATGCGTTTTTATTTGAAATTATTTTTAATAATTTGTTAGTCGCATACCTACTTTATAGTGCTTTTTTGTAAAACCGCATAACGAGGATACACGAAAAATAAATAGGGATCAAATTAGAATACTTCTCCGGAAATCAAACAGCGCTAGCTGAGCCCCCTCGCGGCAACTGTTACAACCTTGTCATTGCCGTGTGGCACTGCCACAACTCCTTCTCCGTCGAACCTTCTAGGGGAGATTTACGTTGAGGGTGTTCAACGGAGTTTGGTGGTGGCCGTGTGACAGGGGTATAAAAAGCATAAGCCAGCCCCCGACCAGCTACCAGCTAAATAGGTGGCGCCATCTAGCGCGGCCACAATGAAACAGACAACCACAACTTTGTTATTGCAGAAACATTGTGCATTGTACATTTGGTGCAAAAACTGCACAGGGACAATATTACAAATGAGTAACCTTTTTATTCATTTTCACCTTAAAAACATTACGCGTAAGCTAACATGTTCATGACTGCGGTTGCACAAAGTGTCACAAGAGTTCGACACTGTCGTTACAGTAACCTTGTATTTTTCACTTTTTTGCGTATACCAGATTGCTGTACACAATAAAGACGTGCCCTGATCACTATGTATGTTTAACTTAACATTTTAAATCATAAAAAGACCTAAATAATACTTACGCGACAAGACGCTATGGCTCTGCGAGCGCGTGTGAACTTCGTGCGGCTTGCGTTTGCGTGCGTGCCACCGTGGCGCCAACTAAAAGGCATTCCGGTTGGGTATGGGTTGGGCACGCAACGCCGCACGCTCCCAAGCCCACAACGCCCCAAGAGAATGCGTACCCAGCACTAAAACTCCCTATGTTTGTGGCAAAACGTTCCTCATCGAACACCCAACAACTTCCACTGTCTAACTAAAATTCGGTCTGGGGCCTGGTAAATGGCCTTCAAAACGTTCCTCATCGAACACCCAACAACTTCCACTGTCTAACTAAAATTCGGTCTGGGGCCTGGTAAATGGCCTTCAAAGGCGCCCTGCAACACTTTTTCAGCATGGTCAGAAAACGCTGCCGATCGATAGTAGAGGCTCCCGACAACACGCGAGCCAAATATTATAGCGCAGCACGTGGCCTGAAATTTACAACAAATGATCAAAGGCAACTAATGCCCCTGGCACACGGGCACCCTGAAGTCCTTTAGACAAGGGGACATCTTGCGGAAAGGCGTTCGGGCACAGTGACACACGACAAAGGAGTAACTCCTTTCCGGGAAAGATCCTTTTCGCAAAAGCAGATCCTGCATCTACTTTTCTGGCAGGAAGGGAGTACTCTCGCATACAGTGTGCAAAATTTATCAATAGAAGAAAACGTGTCGCAACAGTGCGGTGTCCCTGTCAGTATTTTTTTGCGCTGAGAAAATGTTTTCAATTTCAGCAGCAGTGCGATTTGTTCAAAAGTGAAGGCCTATAGTCTGTCCATACTCTCAAACGCCTGCATTACGTCACTAGCGCGATCATGTTAGGGTTTGCAGCGGTAGTTGCTGTGTCGGGCTCACTCGAAAACACTGCTTAAAATGGCCGTCGCCTAATAACGGCAATGTGTCTTCGAACCAGCGTTCGTTGCGCACATTGGCCTAACTTTCGCGGTTGATGGCTCGGGGGGACAGTGCGGAAGCAGTCAAAATGAAGCTGTTTACGACGAGTCTTTGTTTGAGGCTCATCACTCTTGCCTTCGCAACGTTTAGCTCATCTTCGATGGAGCGGAGGGCGACAAGAGTCAGGCCCACCTCAACTGTTGCTTTATCTCTGTCTCTGCGCTGAGACATCGCAAGACCGCGATGAAACGCGGCACGCCGTCACTGACCCAGCTGGACGCAGCCATGTAAAAAGCACGACAAAAAAACAAAAACAGCAAAACACCGACTGTTCATAGTCGCCAGACGAAATTAAGTTGCTGCTAAAAACGCAAAAAAGCGAAAACAATTACAGGTATGCGCATTATAAGCCACCAGACAATAAAAAAACTGTTTTATGCTCCGGCGTCGCTGAATGTGATGTACATGCGCAGATTCTTTTTAATATTTCCAATCTTGCTGCTTCCACAAACAGCGCCATTTTTTCTGCAGCGTTCTTCTGAGGCACCGCCTAAAGCAGTAGTCCGGTGCCGTGTGTCATCAGCGCCACTCCTTTCTGCAAATGGTCCCCTTAGGTGACAAAAGGGGTTTACTTCAAAGTACTTCACTTTTGCCCGTGTGGCACGGGTATAAAAACTGCTTTCTCTTCTCCCGACAAATCACGCAATTTACCCAAAAATCACACGTAGCTTGCCCATCTATCAGCCATTGGCTGATTTGAACATGGCGCACTCACTCGTTACAGAGATCGCCGCGGGAGGCCGCCACTTGTCCACGCGTGCGCATGCGAACACACTGAGAAGCCGCGCATTCGAAAAAAGGAAAATGTGCTCAAGGTCACGATGCTCGCGTGACGACGTTTCTCCGTGGCTCTGTCATCCCTTCTGCTTAGCTTCCAGCGCTTTCGTCGGGACGAGAGAAGAGAGGATGCGATTGCAGCGTGCGACAAATCTTTTTTAACTCCACTCATACTGGACAGATTTAAAATTTTTGCGGCGTTGAATTTGTGAGGCAATAAGCTCTTCCGGTGAATTCATTTCATGGTTACTTGAAAAAAAGTTTCAGGGCCCCTTAGGTGAGCGAGCGACTCGCTCCGTAATATCGCTGGCTTGCTTAGCGTGCCGCGCATGCGCAGTTTGTGTCTGCGCTCGTTCGCTGGGCCCGCTAAGCCGCTCAGCTATCACTGTCTAAGCACATTGTGGTTTTTGGAGCTGAAACCCGAAGAAGTATTTTTCCTTTAAAGAGTAGGACAGCTAACAAGTGTCAGGTTACAGCGATCACTAAAAGTATACAATCACTCTAATGATTGTACCACTAACAGCATTTAGAACATTAATTCAGCATTAAAGTGACATTGGTAAGTGATGCTATGAGGTAAGCATTCTGAGCGCACAGCGATACGTGGTATGCGTAATGCTTTAAAGGCGCAAAGACGCCAGCAGTGTAGCGTAGAGGGCAAAATGAGGTAGCCAATGTTCTAGCCGACATCTAAAGCAAGAAATGGAATTGGCCCAACTATAAAAAACATGTTGCGCGGGTAACAAAGGGACAGAATTGGCAGCCAAAGAAAGTAGATTTACAATGACGCACAAGACGAAGTGCACACTTGATTGCTTGAAGAAAACCAATGGCTTTGTAGAACTGCCACATCTCTTGCTTATGTTTATGCTCATCTAAGGCTTCAGATTCCTCTCAGCAGCCAGATCACAACTAAGTGCACGGGACCTTGCCAATTGTATGAGATGGCGATGCAACTGATTTTTAACTGACCTGTGAGTCACGCATCGACTAAGCCAAGTAAACAACTGATCGCTTGATGGTTGATGCACCAATACCTGAAATAGTCAAATGAAATTGATGATATTATTGATAAATCGCTACAGAGTAGTTCGAAGAAAATTCACATTACGAATGTGCATGCGGAACAGTTTAGTGCCACGCATATGTACAACATTAGGCAAGGAAACTAATGAGCCAGACTGTGTTACTTGAACTTCGGTTACTTCAATTAACATCCCCTATACTTTCCTTGGCATCATTGTCCATTAGTTCTCATTAATATTGTGTCTAACAAAAAAAATGAGCCCTTAAATTTATACTTCACTCCTTCTTTCTTAACAAGAATCTGGTTCTGGCAGAGTTGACGCCTTTAGGTAGTGTGCGAGAAATCACTGGTCAGCTGCCATAGTAAGCCCATGGGCTACGCAACACCGACAGGCAAAAAATGAGTGTTCCACACTCTCTGTAATGGCACATGCCGAAATCTCCAGGCACGACGTCATAAATTTCCAAATCATTTTTTTTTTTGTGACATTGGCTCAATGGAAATTCTTAAAGCTCAGTATGCTAGGTCTATGGCACCCACAGATGACAATTCACTTGCATGCTTATCGAACAGAAGTTATGTAGGACCCGATAGACACCTTCAAAATCCATGACGCCACAGTGTACGGAGCGGGAATCTCAATGTGAAATCCCCATCCACATTTCCTTTTTTTGAATTTTCTCTTTCACCAAGTGTAGCGTATCCATAAGGGCTTGTGAAATTGTACCTCAATGAAACACAAAAAATTGTTTTGCTCTTCATACAAATACAAAGAGACGCTGTGGTGGAGGGCTCGGAAAAGTTCGATCACCTGGGGAGCTGTCGGTGACTTGCAGCATTCACCAAAGCGAAGAAAGTGATCCGTTGCTTTGGGTAAGTATGACTAAGCAGCTTGAAACATTGTTTTGCTATTAAAACTTTTCACTATTAAAACTATTAAAACCTTTCACAAATGCGACAGGTGGTGTAGGATGTGAATTTTTCAACAATACTCTAGTGACAATATCACTACCACATGACCATTTCATTGTTCGGAGAACAAAAACCGAAACTAGAGCTGGACAAGAGCAATTGTGCTACAGGAAAAAAAAGCAGGAAATTAGCTGCAGAAATGTCATTGTATAGTAGAGTATTTACTGCCTCATTTTGAAGCTTGTCTGTGTCCATTTATGAAGTTCAGTCAACAAGGGCGTTTATTTATTGCAAAAAAAAAAAAAATCTGAAACATTATGTCTGTGCACCTGATACGTCTCTGCCCACGAGCTTTTTGGTGGACACCGTGTGGAGCGAAAATATTCAGATCATAAAATGACCAACAAATAATGCACAGACAACAAACTTTTTTTTCTTGATTTTCATTCTGTACATATTTACAGTCAGGATAAACCACAAATGAAAATAGAAAACATGCCCTGGTCATACATCTTTGCTACAACGCACATGGCTAACAGAATTTCGCAAAATCCCACACAAGTCAGACGTGCATGGTTAAAATGTTTTAAATTGTATAGCACTTCTCGTCTGCAAATCATCAGTGGTTCAGAACTGTCCCCCCACCTCTCAACACAATTGCAATTTCAAAACTAGAGTTCACCTCCATTGGCTACGCTTCAGTAAAACAAAAAAAAAAAAACTAGAAATATCTCGTCACATGGCTTCTGAAGTTCTCTATTTACAAACAAAAATATTGACATAACCTAACTGCATACAAGCGTGCAGCAGCATAGTGCAGAATCAGCCACTTGTGACGAGATGTCACATCTGTAGTTTTCTCGCTAAAAAACTTAAAAACTGAAATTAGTGAAAGACCAGTGTATTTGACATTCAACCTGGCATATAACCATTGAGCAATTAAAATATAGCATATGCTTAATTAAGCAAATGAGCAATAAATTGAAAACGACAGAGCAGGAAATGCGTACGCACCAACATTGTATAAGAGCTCCCCGAAACAACAATTCTACACAGTAGTATATGTACAATTCACTGCTTTGCACAATTCAGTCAATGCGGCATTACATGTTCACATAATCCAGTTTGAAAGTTACTAGATTACTCAGTAGGTTTTTCTGAGCCTGCCTTAACATTAGAAGAGCTCATCCGCAGTCTTCCTTGACCACAAGGCAAATTTTATCACGCATGCCACAATCTGTTAACAAACAATGCAGAAATTCCATGCGGCAGGCATTGTATGCAGTCTGTCACGAGCGGCATGGCCTTAGAGATTGGTACCAACCAGTTCAACATTACACCAACAACTCGCTCAGTCTGAAACTCGGGCACACGGACAGTGCTCTTCTTGAACAGCTTTTTTAGAAGTCTGTGTTCTTTCTTTTTTAATGTTCTCTTTCGAATAACCAACATCCTGCCTTTAGCCTCCGAGATCTGGAATGGGCACACACCGTCTCGCAGGCCATGTTACGTGTCAGACTTTTTCCCACTAGCCCCCACTTGGTAGCACATTTGAGTGAGTTTACCCGACGGATGCACAAGGGCAATCTAAAAAGTGATCTAGAAATATTGACCCAGCATCCTGCCTTAGCATAGATAGCACTTCAGATTGGAACATTTAAAAGAGTTGTGAACAAGGCCAGCAAGAGACAGAAATCCCTGGGATACAGTCTTCGGTAGTCATCCCATCATTTAAAAAGGGCAAGAGCAACAGCTGTAATGGATGGCCTTCATAAATGCACATTTCGGAAGTAACACCAAGACAAGATTCGATTGTTGACCCACGCTTGTACCCAGTCACAAAAGTGCACACATCGAAGACTCATTCTATCAGCCGTTTCCATAAACATTGCACCACATTCACATCTTTCATTGCCCAGTGTGTTATCCCATTCCCCATGCAGAAAAATGTCACAGTTCTCCGCCACTCTCATAAACAAAAAAAAAACAGCACGGTCTTTATATAGAGTTGAGTCCTGATTACAGTTTGCTAAATCAAACCTCTTGTTTAAACGTTATGCATGCAAATAAGAACAGAAACACTGTGCGCTCTGTACGATAAAAGGAACAAACACAGAGTAAAACACCCAAGTGCTAAAATTTGCACAATACAAGAAAACTTGATTCCACGCTAAAACACAGCGCAGCGGCTTCACATCTTGCTCATGCGTGTATTTTGAAGCTTTGTAAGAAGTGCACTATCACAAATCAATAATGCGGAAATGTATGATACAAGTGTGCACTTAATAAGCACAAAAATTGTCGAGTAATGCAACTATAAACAGTTGCCAAAGCTTTGTAGCTGGTTGAAGGCTACTTGACTATGACAGCAACTACGCTTGCAACAAATCCACAGTGTCAATGCAATATCAATAGTTTTAATGGTGAAGTTAAACAAGGTTATGCTCCTTAAGAAAAAAAAATCTAAAATTACTTGGTTAAAATATTTGGAGACCACATTTTTATTTAGCACCTCCTTTCATTCCAATAGCTTTGCTGTAATGTTTTTTAAACTTAAACAAATTTAGAAACATTGACCTAAAGATAAATGTTGCTTTGTATGCTGTTTGTAAACTAGACTACAATGTTACAGCATTACCTCAGCACACAGGCTCCTGCTAAAATGTTTTGTGCAACGACGCCATCAGGCTACGAACACACTTTGCACAGAAAAACATGATAGTACTAAAGAACAATGGTTTGCAGCATGCACTCACAAAATAACAATGCCCAGATTTCAAGAAAAGCACGATTAAAAAATAAAAAAAGAGGGGAAACCATCGGTGCATATTCTGTTTTATGAACAACATATGCTCGACCAACATAGACTGAATAAAACCTGAACAAGCATCGCTCGTACTAAGAACTTTCACCTGTGGGCCGGTTGATCTATGCAAGTGACTTCACGTGCAGTAAGCTGTTATTAAACAAGTTGTTTAAAACTATCGACAAGCCTTTTCTATTCCACGACTTTCTACACTAATGTGAAATTGCGCTATAGAAACAGTGTAGCAAAAGGCGCAAAGAGTGTACTAATGGCGCCAACTGAAACAATGCACAAGCGAATTGCATGCTTTGTTACGTTCCTATATTTGTTCAACGTTTGTAACACTGATGAGATTCAGCCTTGCACAAAGTGTATGCTGTGGGCTACATAGTAATGTTCAGAAACAAGCCACACAATAGATGTATGTGAAACTGTAAGACTGCCTTGTAATTGCAAATAGCGGGCCTTCCAGTCACTCCGTTACCGTTTACATACCCACCTATGCGAAAGCCAGTTGTTTGCAGTTAAATCTATATGCAAGCAATGTGCATGATGCCACAAAGCCAATTGGCCCACCTTCTATTCAAATGCAACAAACAGTTCCTTACATAGTCTATGAACATGATCCAGTCTTAAAACTCATACCGGCTTCCACATCATGCCCACTTCACACACATTAAAAAAACATGACCCACAGATGCATTCCTACTGACTTCAATACGTTCCTGTTTACAACTTATCTTGACAGCGTACATGAACCTTCCAACACACAAAGTTCCTTTAACACAATTCAATGGGTAAAGAAAAAAAACTAAGCAGAAGTACTTGTCAGCATGCCACCACATCCTAACCCAAAAAAAGATAAAATCATTTGCTATATGCACAATGGCAGCCATACTATTTATAGGTGTATTGAATTGGATAAGTGGATAAGAAGGAGAAACGCACAGATACACGGGGAAAAAATTTTTAAAAAAAGATTGAGATGCTATAGATTTTTTTTTAAAGGCGCACCAAGAATAATGAAAGCCTGGCATGAACTTATAGCTGAAAGAGAGAAGTTGTGTTTATAGCTGTGCACACAAGCCTCCAAAGGATTAGCAAGTGCTTAGTTGCCTTGTATCCTGTAGGTCACTCAGCACTCTTATAATTCTCTCTGCTTTCTGAAGGACAAAACACTAATGGAACTGCAGTAGAAAACCACAAAATTAAAAGAATAATTACCTCATTGATAATTAGTTAGCATGATGCATGTGGGCTTTCAATGAAATGACTGTAGAATCACCAAGGTGCAAGCCCAGCTCTGAAAATGCACTAACCACACAATGCACTGACAATGCTGGGACACAGTTGCAATTTAAATTTGTACCACCAGGGCAGCGAGAACAGTAAGGCCAACCAATGAAATGTTTCAACAAGCCAGGCTAGGCAAGAGCTGCAAAGTGTAAAAGTGTATCGTAAGACAGGAAGTCAAGATTTTGACCCAGCATTCCTGCATAGCTTCAAACACCACTATGATATCAATTTTCACATGCAAAAGCAACAAAAACCTATTGCCTACTCTTCTTGTTTTGACCGCCACTTTTGCGTCGACTAGAATGCCACCACAGTTTCTAGCTAAGAATTTTCTTCAGGCATACAAGCAAATCATAAACTAAAAAAAGGCACGGTAGTCGTCTGACGATGCGATGATTGAATAAAAGTTCTAAAAATGTGGTCAGTGCATATAGCATGTACTCAAGTGAAATTTAAACACTTGTTAAAATGGCAAGTCTGAAGCGTTACGCTTCGTATGGAAGTCATACAAGAGCATGCAAGAAATAGAAGGCATGCAGGCCTCTTTTGCTTAAATTCTGCACGTTTCATCCTCTACAACCAGTACCGGAAGTGAAAAACTCGATAGCACACAAAGAGCATTGATGTTAAAAGAATGCTGATCTCTGCACAGCACGGCCCAGGGTTGTCTACAGCCATGTGTGGCCATTGTCATGAATACTTTTCAAAAAGGAGATGCCTGCTAAAGAAAACGCTCTTTGCTTCACTAGCTGTGCGCCAAAAAACATATCTGCTTATGCAGGCTCGTCTACGGAGATGCTCGCAAAACGCAAAGGAATGGCAGAGCAGGCATGGGTTCCACGAAACTCGGCATTTACACCTGCCACACCGATATTAACACACCATGCATGTAACGTGTATTTACATATCTGAATACACCTATAAATGAGAGAAAACTTTTTTCTGACCAGTTCCACTCGCGTCACCACCTTCTTAATAGGACAAAAACGTGATATCTTTGGAGCTGCCGATTCAACCGTCACACACACACACTTCCACACAATCCTCTGTTAGCAAAATAAAAAAAACTCGCATTCTGCGTAGAAGTTCTTCGAAAATGCCAACCATCCCAAACAGCGAGCAGGGCAGCAGGTAACGCAATATCCGAGCCAGTTTCTGACACAGGCGAATACCGGGAACTTAAATCGTACACCAGGTAATGGACCAGAACTCTGCAAAACATAAATAGTGAGCTCAACTAGAAGTAACCATTTTCTATACTAGAGAATAAATAACAGCTCGGAAATGCACTTCAACAAATAGTGTTCTGCCATGAGGCTGGTAAATGTGTTCGTTCTAACGGTAGATTAGTAACACATGCCCAAAAAATGTGTGGGCGTAATAAACCCTCAGAAGACTCTCTCAAGCTGCGGCCGACCTAAAACAGTTCGCCAACAGTGATTCTGTACATCTGAACTTCGAACTACCATCCGCATGAAAAAACCTCTGCCGCTATCGAGCACTTTCTCGTTGAAACGAGAACCGCGACGCTCCTAGAAAACATGCGCTTGCTCATCATAAGAACGCCATGCACCCTTAGTCGTTTGCACAAGTTCGTTCACAATTTGCCGATGTCTCCCAAAAAATGCACACCGGCGTAGTGTTAGCCGAGGTGTTGCCAAAATCAACGCGTCGGAGCAAGGTCACACACAAAGCAACGGGTTACATACAAAGGAACATTCCAAGTCAAACACGTGCCAACTGCATAGGTCAGGTATCCTTTTTTTTTTCTTTTTAAACACGGGAGAGGAAAAGAATAAAACTTTTAGCAGGTTGCTGGAATGCTCGCCCCAATACAGGGGCACCTTTGTCTAGGTTTACCAACAGCCATATGTTACTGCAAACAGATGCTATTGTCACAGGTAAGACAGATCCCTTCTCAATGGAAAGAAAACTCTAGCGCCTGGGGCTCCTCAAGAGGCCCTTGCCTGTATTAGTTAGAACGTAGGAGAGTGCAAAGGGTTAGTCACGCGAAGTGGCAGCCTTTAACTAGCAACACCACCGTGCATGAGGTCATAAAAAGTGAGATGAAGTTAAAGAAAAAGGTCGGTGCTAAGGATGTACAGCTTCTGAAAGGCCTTTTTTCCTTTTTTTTTGCAAATTAAGCACACGAGGCAGTTCACCGGCATGTTTTCCATACCGCTCGCCCAGGCATTCTCATGCGCAAGTGCTACAAAAGTCGGAACACTCGCAGCGGTAGATTACATAGCACCCTAAGTATGTCGCAGAGCTCAACGACGACGATGGAAGAACTCATGTGGACTGAGAAATGCAGTAAACTCAATCCGACACAACACACGCTCGTCCACATCACATACAGGGTGCTACGGCATTGAAACGAAAAAAGCGCATTCCAACGTCCTGTTGGATGCACGGAGGCGATGCAACAGCTGACCAGTTTTTCCTCTCCCGAAAGGAGAAAAACGGCAACAACGCAACAAGCTGCTTGCCACTTTACCGCCGACTCTCCGGGTGGCTATGGTGCGATGAGATAAGAGAGAGGCTAAAAAAAAGCAATAATAAAATGCCTAGCTGGGAGTTTGAGGAGGCTCGCTACTAAAGTAGGGTGCAGTGTCTCGGTCGAGGAGGGTGTGGCAGACATTGCACACCGCAAAGGGGCGCAGCTTGGGACCCGACCGCACCGCCCGGCTTAGACACTCGGTGCAGAAGATCTTTCCACAGTGGTTGCAGTGCGGCTGGAAAAAAGGGTGAATGAAAGAATAAGGATAGCGATGTGGGCAAGTTTGTTTACGATCATGGTAAAGACGAGCAGTGCGAAGCACCGAAGTGTGGAAGTGCATGTACGGGTGGACTCAGGACCAAGGAAGTGAAAGAGTGAAAAACACGAGCACGAGTGATGGACTCAAAAGGATGACAAAAAATATTTGAAACAAGTGCAGTGCTCATACAAGACACTCAGGAGGGCTAAGCTTCTTAATATTTGTCGCCAGCTCCATCATGGGCCTTACTATTTTATGCCTCTTCTACAGCGGCAACTCCAATTTTTCTTTTTTCGATCTTGTTTTGCAGCAACAGTGACGTGACGAGGTGCTTTCACGCTACGGTGCTGATAATTTATGAGGCACGTTTTTCCAGTGTAGGGCTCTAGCTTGGTTCAAATTTGCTGAAAAACATCAAATGTGGTTCGGTTGCCGTTATTTAAATCACGTACATCAACAAACAAAGTAATTTTGATAACTTGCAGGCTCACGTAAGTGCCGTTGAGCGTGAAAAACACACCTATTACGTTATGTGTTCACCTGGTGAGAAGATTATGAGTTTTATAACTAAAATGATGTGTTGACAGTACTTTTTTTAAGAGTATTATTACATGTTCGCTCTTTATATGAGTGCTAAATAACCAACAATATGCTACATACCAAGTTAATCGTATGATTGAAACACAATTGGCACTTTCAGTTTCGGTTTCGTACCTGATGAGTGGTCAAACATTTTTGCTTGTATCCTTGGAAAGAAACTACGTGACAAAAGCTTTATGCAGCAAAATGACGGCCAATAAATACGGCATTTACCATAAGCAAGAACCTGAAAACGACATTGAAGAGAAAAAATTCGCCTTTTCCATTAGGACTTGTACCTTGAATTTGAATCAAGGTGATTTGAGTAGGTATTCATAGCCCTTGAATATTCACACAAGCCTATTGAACAGCACTAGTGCTCGTCATCATTTTGGCATTTCATTCATATTTCATTTCATTTTGCTATTTTCAACAGTTCTTTATATAGAAATACAGTAGAATAAGCTTTCCCAACGCTTGTCACATGAAATCCCTTTACTGCATGCGTTGCAGGCCAGGCACCCATGGTATTTCTCAGACTTTTCTACAGGTGCTGCTAGATTTTCGGCAAACTGTCATGCTGCCTGTGGCCTCCACAATTAGTTTCATTGTTGGAGTTAATCATGGACGCCACATGCAGCCAATCATGAGCATCCCATCATACGTCAACAGAAAGCCGCACCACTGTTTTGCTCATTAAAAACGAAAATGTATCGACGCATTTCAGGTTAGGAAAGGTCATGATAAAAGAAGTATACTGTTATAAACACCATCAACACGTCAACCAGTGAAAGGCCTCGTGATCACCCTCACTTTCTTGCCCTGTGAGACATCAAAAGTGACTTTAGATAAAAAATATAAATATGTCTAATAAAAAAAGTGGCTCATTTTAGTCAATATGATACAGTCGACTCCTGTTATTACGAAGTTTCATTGGAACCGCAAAAGTCTTCGAACTAACAAACTGCCGATTCAAAGTACATTGCATTGGCACACTAGTTGGTTTATCATGTTATGTTCAAACAGTGCAACTAGTGGAACACGCTAATGCACACATGGCACTGTGTGTGTGTTTGAGCGTTTTTTTCCACCGGCGTCCAGTCGTGCTGTTCTAACTTGAACTAGACTTCAACCCAACCAGCAGCTGAAGCACTCGACACATCACAGCGAAAGACCTAGTTAGCCAATGCGATCAATGCAATGCTCCTGCGCTGACTAAACAAGATGGCCGCTTCATGAACCGTGGCGCTGCAAGCAGCGGCGATGGCGACCACAGCACGGTTCAACAGCTGTTTTGGCAGTCTTCGTAGATGAAAAATTAGGGTCGCCCCGAGGCTCTCAAATTAACAACTTCTAATTAACCAACATTGCGGGCTTTTAACTTCAAATTATCAAGCATGTTTTCTCATAGGCGTGCATGCAAAATTTATGGGACCACTTCTTGACTTCTAATTAACCAAAAATTCCAATTAAGTGACTTCAAATTATAAGGAGTCAACTGTACAGAGTAGACTCTCTTAGACAGAACCCAAAGGAACCAGAGAATAATTTTCCATTTAGCGGGAGCTTCATTCATTGAGACAAACAAGTGGCACAGATTTAAGAAGAAAACTATCATATCGAATGTAATTGTTTAATTAAAGTAGTAATTTCAGAGATTTCCATTTACTCAGAGTCTACAATCTCTCCATTAGTGTGGCTGTCTAACCCAAGTTCTGAGCAATTGTCTGTCCCTTTACCATCAAACATGCCACATTTCATGGCGCCTTCATACAACGGTATGAACGGGGAATCAAGCCGTGCTCACCTTTTCTTTGCGAGAGTGCAGGGCCTTCTTGCAGCTATTGCATTCATTCACGTCATCCTCGTGCTGCCATCGGACTTCACTGTCAGACTGCCGGATCTTCTCCAGCTCCACCTGGGAGTAAGTGCACAGTTGGAAGCTACGTGGAGTCTCGACAGGATTTCCACACGAATGCCATCATAGTGACACCAATCGACATTATGGCAACATAAAAACCAAGATAAATGCAAATAAAACAAGCACTAGAAAGAGTGGCCATTAACACAATGCTGACTTCAGATTGAAATTTTACTACAATGGGAGAAATCTTATACCTATTTACTCGCATAATTTGCTCACACCATACTGACACCATACTGCTCAACAAAAATACGATTTTTCTTTTTCCATGAGTAATTATCGCACCCCGAGAATTACAGCCGAAATGTCATCCGCTCCTTAACCACTGATGATCAGGTGCACGATAGCCTGGCCCCATTTTGTAAGCATTATCCACAATATTAATGCGCAGAGCTCCAATCCAAGCCAAGCCAAAGTGGAAAGTGTGCATCGCAGCATGTTAGTGTACTTTGTGTCCGTTCTGTGGTTGCACTATGGGACGATACGGAAGCTACAGTTTAAAGTTATTGATCGTGCCCTAAACAATGGCGAAGGAGCCACCGGTAGGCACTTTGGGTCGAGTTTTGTGTTCACTACTGGCTACGGCAGCACGGATAGCTGAACGCCGAGCTGGATCTTCCGTGTTCTTAAGACTGGAATGAATGGTTACACTTTAATTCGTCACAAGGCAACTGCGGACGATTTGGCCATCAGCCCTAGGTTGACGTCGTACACTAACCTTTCGTAAGCTTCCCTTGAGTGACAAACGCCAACGCTGGACCCGCAGGCTTTTTGTATGGTATTCCAGAACTCTGTACTAGTATTTGCTTAAAGTCTTTGTGTCTCAAATAAATTTTGCCTTGTGTTCAACCCTGTGGTTTTATTGTTATGGTAAGTCTTTATTAGTACTTCTTGTAGCTTGTAGTTAGCCGCCAGGATGAGAATCCCGATTTGTGCCCCCCTCCCCTTTTTTTGTCGTTCCATACATTTTCGCGGAAAATGTTTCTCACGTAATTCTCACACACCCCAACTTTTCATCAGTTTTCTGAAAGAAAAGTGAGAGGATTATGTGAGTAAATACGGTACATATGAAAGAAGAAAAAAAAAAGCTTTATGTCACAGAATGCTCACACGCATTTCACTCAGAGAGGCAATCTTATTTTGCAGGGTTCGCACAGGTTTTAGGAAAAATTCAAAGAACTTCATGGGCTTGCCACATGTTTGTTGAAGGCTAAAAAGCATCATGCAGAAAGGGATCTTTTCTTACTTCAAAAATACTCCTAATACTGACTATATTTATTGCACTTAAACATATACAGTTTAAACACGATCTACAACAAAGAGCAGCTATGTATAAACTTTAGGCTTCCCTGGAGCAATCTAAATTTCACACCTTGAAAAGCTTTTCCTTACGAATCGTGTTCTCTCGTTTCAGCCCCATGAAAAACATAGCTGACACGAATGAAAATAGTGTTTGAGGAAAAACACACAAGCTTGACCGCAGCTCAGAATCGCGCAAGACGTGCTGCAGCTACTCTCGTTTCTCGCTCCTAAGCTCGTCGTTCTCCAACTTGAAGCACAAGCCACAGGACAGGACTTTAATAATACAACAAACAGGTGACAATACAGAGGAGACAAAGTGGTGCTCACATACCTGGAGTGACTGTGACAGCTTGACAAAGTCCCGCTGGACTGCCTCGCTGTTGTCAAGCTCCGTCTGCAAGGTCTGCACTCGTCCTCTCAGACACGTAACCTCTTCCTCCAGTTTCTCCTGCGCGAAAATGGCCAGCAAGCAACATGACGGCAACATCGATACCTATAACACTGTTTAGTAGCGAAGCTATTATAAGATGACCCTTTGCCATCTGCTGACCTAATACGCACATGTTATACATACAGCAGTGTTTGCAATGGTGCTTACATTCTGGTGTAGCAGCGATAGTAGTAATACATGTTTTGTTTTGAGCAAGTGGGTTTTTTAGTTCCAAGCACAGCCCGTGCTCTCTTGCAATTTTTTTGAAGAAACGTATTTCCAGAGTGTTTCCCCTAGAAAGTGGTAGCACCCAATAATGGTGAAGTATGACAAGTTTTACTCAACGGCGGCCAATGTAGGAACACTTTCACTTGAGTACTTGTGAGTCGTATAGCTGATACTATTAGTTATCATCGATTTTTGGTGCTACAGTTCCCTTGGTTAAACACTCTCACGCAATTATTAGATATTTGAATGAAAAAATGAATACTGCTTTTCAGGAGAGTTGCTTGTTGGGCAAGTTGGTACATTTACTTAGTTAACTACAACATAAGCCACAACACATCAAAAGCAAAAAAAAAAAGCAGAGCGGCAGAAACGCTGTTTTTTCCCTATTTCGACAATTTGTGGCTTCATTCATAGTTAATTGAAGATTTATTCATTTCCACAGCACAAATGAACATATTGTAAACGCTAGTCGGCCCTGCAGACAAACCCTAGTTGAGGGTCCGATAAGCGAAACGCTAACATGAGAAAGAATTGGCAAAACATAAATGACAGTGTATTCCAATTATCAAACAAACTGAAGTCTAATTAAATTCGCATAAATATTGCAAGAGTGCAGCCCTAACACCTCAAAAAAGCAAAGGAAGTAAGGACATGCAAGTGCCTTTCTGGAGCAGCTATCAACAAAACCACAAGCTACAATACGTTAATTGTTGTTTCTGTAGCTGTATACTGGACGGCAACTTATCTTGATAGTGGAACAAAAGCTACGAAGGTGAGGCTTCCTGCACATTCGTGTCCCTCCGCCAGTAGCTGGCAGCTTATGGCTGACTTCAGTGTTGCTCGCTCGTGTCGTTAATGCATTAAAAAGATTACTGTATTTACTTGCGCACCTTGCGCACTTTTTTTCGCAATTTTGGGGCCCCGACAAGGGGGTGCGCGCACATTATGCAGGAATTTTACGAAGGCGCAAGAAATATTGTGTCACAGTTCTAACCCGCACAGTATACACGTCTAAAAAAATTGGAGCACAAAAGAAGTGTACTTGTTCATTTAGGAGATTTAGCACGTACTTTAACCAGTGAGATACGGTCACACGCAGCCTAGTGGAAATCAGTGATCGCGAAGTCCGATTGGGAGTCATCGTCGCGGCCACTGCCATCGCCCTCCCAAGGCGCATTGTCCTCGGTTTTGTCGAGCGCGTTCAAATGCCCCATTTTCTCGAAGCTCTTCGCAACAATGGTGTGAGAAACCAAACAACACGGTGAAACCAAATGACTTAAGCCTTCTTCAATGGCAGAAAACTTGTATTAACAAGCGCGCACTCTTCTGCTTTCTGGCGTACCGATCGCGCCGATCCTCACACATTAAAGTACGTCACATTAAAGTGCTTTGCGATGGCACGGCTCTTGTTTCCTGCGGAAAAATTTAAAACAGCAAGCTTCAATTTTGCCATATGTATAATTACTGTAGCACATCACAAGAGAACCATAAAAATGCGTCGGCCAGATTGCAAAACATAAGCTTTCAATATCGACCAAGCGCGCCTTGCAGCACGGACGCAGAGAACGAGGGGAACAGTTGGCGCGACAGAATGTAGAGCTCGCACGCCTCCAATGCAGAAAGTTGCTAGTGCTGTGACACTAGAGTGCATTCTTTCGGTGGTAGAGATGGGGAGATTGAGGCAAACGTTCGAGCAGTTCCGGCGACCCATCAACAGCTAGGTTTGAGTGTTCGTGCACGGTATTCTAGGGACCATAGTTCTGGGGAAGTCCTTGGATGAATGGACTATGTACTCGCAGCCTGTTTGACTGCGCTTGTCTGCTCAATGAGGCACGCGCCAGTCCGAGGCATCAGCATACCTGCCAAGTTCAAGAATTCTGAACCCAGGAGATTTCCTCAACGGAAGGGGGAGGGGGGTTGCGTTGAATTATTTGCCCCCATTTTTTTCAGACATGAAAAAAAAAAAACCAAGAACAAACAAACAAAAGACATCACGAAAAACAAGAGGGGGTGGGGATCTCAGTCGCAAGCGCCAACATCGGCATAGCGGTCTTACTGTTGCTTGAAGCAGCTGAACACACAAAGGTAAAGTTTCCCATTAAGGTGAGAGTGTCAAAGGATCAACACAAATAGCAGAATCTAATTCTGTCAAAACAATTCGCGTATATGCCTTCCTGGGACACACGTGAATGGACAATGAACAGGATGGCGCAGCAGCTGGCAATGGACGGGACGGCGCAATGCATGTTCCAGCGTTGCTCACTACTAGGTTTTTTTTACGGGAACGCCAAAACGAGTCTGGCCTTTTTTTTATGTCTTTACTGTCTTTAGACTACCCCTGCGTTAGCCGCGTGCCCTCAAAGCTTGTACATCGCTATCGTATCGCTGTTGTTTGCGTAACATTGTTTGCGGCAAATGGTAGTTCCGCCCTCAAAACTAAGTCGTTTTATGCTATCTACAATCGCATCTGCCATGGTTTTGTTTGCAGAGTTAACGGAAAGCAGCGATGCTTTGACTGGTCGAGCGTTGGACACGCACACACTTTCGGGGTTCTGTCAGTTCCGTGATCGCCATACATGATTGATAGTATCAAAAAAGACCGCGATTTCGCCCACAGCAGTTTTGGCAACAACAATACACACACTATAGAACACAGTGCGTGTGCTGGTAGCACGCATACTCCAGAAGCTTCCAGTAAGCTGCTCTCGGCCTTCGTTCGACAGTTTCTGTACTAAAGTTCGCATCACCTGCCGTGATTAGCGAATGTGTTAGGAACATTTGAATTTAGGCCCAATAAACATAGTGAAATTTGGCTGGGGAATTTCACCAATTCATTTCTGCTGGGGTTTCGGATCACTGAGATTTTACTGTATGTTTAGATAAACGCCTCTTAAATTCACCTATAATAAAATGGGGTGGGTTCACAAAAAGCCTCGAGCAGTTTGAGCTGCTTTATTGTCAATGTGGCCAGATCACGCACAGAAATTTCGATTTCTGGGAGATTTTCATCACAACCGTACAAACGGAAAAAACGGTTGAAATCTGGGAGTCTCCCGGGCAATCTGGGAGTCTCCCGGGCAATCCGGGAGACTTGGCAGGTATGCATTGAAAAGTCTCTTAGTGCGCGCGCAGGCGAGCTGGCTCAGGCGGGTCGGAGAGCACAAAATATGCGAGTAAATATTTTAGCAGCACTGTCAAAATATTAGGGGTGTGCAAATTATGCGAGTGAATACGGTATATGCACAAGAAATGTGAACCGGAGAAACATTTTGATTGTTTAGTGTATATGTTGAAGTCATATTATAAGTTTTTTTTTTCTTGGTGAACTGTACAGTGCGTTTGTGACTGTACCCTGACCCACTATGTCATGGACGTCATGTCTGCTTTAGAAAATATGAGTGTTGACAAGATGGCGCTGTCCGAGAAATGAAAAAAAAAAGGAAGGCATTCTCGCAATGTGATCAAGAAATGTATCTAACCTACCACTTCTGCAACTGCTTGAGTATCGTAATAAATACAGCAGCATTTATTTCGGCAAGGCAAATGAAAAAATGATCAGTAAACTTAAGTACTATCTTTTACAGTGATAGTGGGCGTGTGCTTCTGTATTGTAGCTACCACAGTGCTGTCAAGAAAAGTTTTCAGCAAGTCTAGTGTAATAATTGTGACCTAACTACAAGAAATTGAAGTGGACGAGAGGTCACCTTTTCTGTCAGTTGCCTCAGACCAACCAGACCTTTGAATGATTGGCAAGCATCGCTCGCTACCTCGGCTACGAGCAGTCCTGGCTAATACTCCCAGAGATTAGGCACACATAAATGCCCTACTATGTGTACGAGGGAGCGCCCCCAGTCACAGCTCAATTGACAAAGCATCTAATGTGTACAAGAAATTCAAAGGTTGTGCGTTCAGATTTCACCTGTGGAAGAGACTATATTTTACATTTTATTTCCTTGAAATTAAGTCAAGGCCACTAAATTACAGTTAGGACAACAACAAACGTCGTCTACTTTGCTTTCCATGGTTCATTTGTCTGTTAGTTTCATTCCTAGTGTCTAACAAAGAAGCGATACCCTCGAACGATTCCTTCGTAAGCTACAAGACAAGACGGCTCAATCACAACATTGTTCCTACTGTAAACATAAGAAACAAACTTATGGCACACAAACTTGCCTTTGTAGTTGTGAGCTGGTCATGGCCCCTCTGCAAGGATATGACCCGCTCGTCCAGTTGGCTTGTCAACTGGGCCAACCGCGCTTCGCATGCCTGTAGTGACTTCTCCTTTTGCTCTCGAAGCTGCCGCTCCTTCTCTAGCTGTTCACGGATGCCCGTCAGCTGGTCTGAAAGAGTGTAGTGTACTCAAGTCAAACGACTGGCATAAATCCAACCAGTGGCATGTATCCCAGCAACCTTTTTTTTTTTTTAAAGGGACACCAAAGAGGAAGAAGATTTTTCTTTTTCAGTAATTTACTCCTTCACAATTCTGAAATCACCACCTTTGCCCCAAGAAGACACTTGGTAAGCAATAAAACATGTAAAAAAACCATAAGCGGCGGTCATTGTGAAATCACCGCACCAAATGCTGTCACGTCACAGATTTTGAAATGAAGCTGTTAACATATTTTCTAATCAATGAAAATGAAGTACATCCTCTTTTGAAAGGGGGAGAGGGGCAATCATTGACTGAACATACCAAGTTTTAAGAAATTTTATTAGGCCCGTGTCACTAAAATAAGAGAAGTAAGCTTCCAAGTTCGTAACTTCACACGCAGAGATTTAATGGTGAAATAATAAAAAAAAGCTTTGACATTGATTTATTCATTTACATATTAATGAGCTACAATAGTAAAATTAATGACAGTAGAGTTATAAATGTAAAAATTTTATCAATCTCATGTATTGTATCACTTTAGTGCCCCTTTAATAAATGTCTCCTCCGTATTTCAGCAATTTGAGATCTCCCTTAATAGAGGTGGGGAAGGGCTTTTTCAGCTAGCAGTGCATGAGGGACAGGCCGAAAATTGGGTAGGCAGGTAAAGATTAATAAGTTTGTGGGCACACGGCAATAAATTGAGTTAGTTTAAGACACATTGCAGAGGCCTTCGATTGCGCAACAGTCAGACTCGACACAATGCACTTAGAGGGGGACTAGTTGATGTGGATGCACAGTGCTTTTTTTTAGTGCCATAAATGATGTCAGTTGAGAGTAGCACTTTGTCCTATCTTGTCTCGTGGCGTCATTTTGCACTAAGGAGGCCCTATGAACAGCCAGGCTGATGATCATCATCAGTAACCCGTCACAACCAGAATTCGATGACCTGCCCACTAGATGGCGTGCACATGGTGCACACTGTAACATCACGATTACAAACTCCTTGGCAGTTAGTCGACACTTCAACCAGCTCCTTTTTAGATTTTTTTTTTCTTGCTCTATACTGTAGCCTCTTCTGCTAGCTTGATGTGCTAAGCTCCCCATGCTGACTGTCGTCACCAGAGAAGTCCCTCTCTCATTCTGCAGGCCAACACCGATAAGCCAGTTTTCCGACCATCAGGTGCCAGCCGATACTGATGATGTACATTTGGTAAAGCCTTAAACGGGCATCCCGAAAAAATAACTGGTGAGAGATTTCATACACTTTCCACATGGCAAATTTATTATCATTTTCCCGAGTATGCTGTCAAGCACCAAGAAACAAATGTCTTCTCACAATGAAGATTATGAGAGTCGACTCCCGCCACATTACAGCCCGAGGGCGAGAAAGAGAAACTAACAAAACTTTGATTCGTACACGGCTATATTATCAAAATAATTGTTATTAGCAAAAAGCTCCAGCAACAATATATGCCTGACCGTTTTGCAGCATTTGTCACAGTTGCAAATGTCATCTGCTTTAGGCATCATCAAGTTTGCTGTGACAGGGTCATCAGTGCCATGGGAGCTCTGAGAATGGTCACCACTTCATCCATTTCATGAATACCTGACTTCACTTTGCCACAGATTGAAGCCCAATACTGAGGCATAACAAATCTCACACGCAAATCTGCACCAGAGTAGTACGGAACAATTCTTGCTAGGTGACAAAATAGCAAAAAGCCCACTCTCGCGACGTGCTTCATTTTTTTGGTTATCTGCAGCTCGTATATTCGTTCAATCTTTCAGCACATTTATTACCATGGGCAGGAAGCTTCTGTTGCTCGTGGTCACTGCTGTCGTAAAAATATATATATATATTTATTTATTTTTCTCAAAATTTTACTTCCCACAGTAAATGCACTCCACCACTTTCCAAGTATCTCTGGTAAAAAAAAAGTTTGTTCATTGTGAGCAAATAAGGTGAAATCGCATCAGCCCTAACACCCTGTGAATTATTCGACGAGTGGATAGAGAGAAGCTTCCCACCCACTACAAAGGGTTCAGGAAAAAGTCGTCACCATCATCCCCTACCACAGCATCACAGCTGCAAAGGTGCGTATATTGCCGCACTCCAAATGGGCAGACAATGCAGATGATGTGAAAAGAGACACTGACCAAAGAAGACGACCTGTGTGTGTGTTTATGTCTTTGCTCTTGGCTGCTGCATAAAAACACGCCGTCGATTCTTGGACTAAACATCTCTGTGGTCTGCTTATGGTGGAGTGTGACAATTATTGCCTTCTTTGAAGCTCTCTCATCCTCTTTCCCATTGTAGGGTAGCATACCGGTCCTTTTAGACTGGTTAGCACCCATACCCCTCTGTTCTCTGCTGTTCCTTCCTTCCTTGCATACACATAATGGGTACTTCACTAAAGTCTACATGCCTTTAAAAGAGATGGACTCATTTGTTTGCACCAGGCACTAAAACGGCAGATTTAATGCAAAAAAATGCACGTACTATTTCCTCATTGCAGCTCACTTGTCTCACGTCATCATCATCATCAGCCTGACTACGTCCACCGCAGGACAAAGGCCTCTCCCAAGTTCTGCCAGTTAACCCGGTCCAGTGCTTGCTGCTGCCAATTTATACCAGCAAACTTCTTAATCTCATCTGCCCACCTAACCTTCTGTCTCCCCCTAACCCGCTTGCCTTCTCTGGGAATCCCGTCAGTGACGCTTAATGACCAGCGGTTATCCTGTCTACGCGCTACATGCCCGGCCCATCTCCATTTCCTCTTCTTGATTTCAGTTATGATATCCTCTAATCCACTCTGCTCTCTTCTTGTCTCTTAAGGTTACACCTATCATTTTTCTTTCCATTGCTCGCTGCGTCGTCCTCAACGTAAGCTGAACCCTCTTTGTAAGTCTCCAGGTTTCTGCTCTGTAGCTAAGTGCCGGCAAAATGCAGCTGTTATATACCTTCCTCTTGAGGAATAGTGGCAATCTACCTGTCATAATTTGAGAGTGCTTGCCAAATGTGCTCCACCCCATTCTTATTCTTCTAGTCACTCCAATCTCGTGGTTAGGCTCCGCGGTTATTACCTGCCCTAAGTAGACATAGTCTTTTACAACTTGAAGTGCACTATTACCTATTTCGAAGCGCTGCTCTTTTCCGAGGTTGTTGTACATTACTTTCATTTTCTGCAGATTAATTTTAAGACCCACCTTTCTGCTCTCCTTGTCTAACTCCATAATCATGAGTCAGACAAGGAGAGCAGAAAGGTGAAAGTCTGGCTGCACTTAAGTGAGGTGTTTCACGTAAGTGCAGCCAGACCTTCATCTTTTTGTACTACAAAGGTGCAACATTTGCCAAATTTCTCTTTGCATCCATCACAGTTTTTCAATCCCAGACAACGCTGCCGACACCAACGCTGCATTTCCTGCGTCACAGGCTCATTAACATTTTCCCATTAAAGGATGGCCTGCAGGACCCACTGAAACAAAGCATACTGCAGAGTTCATCCCACATATTCACAGCAATGGTGCCAGTCCTGTGTTCTATCTACACCAATTTCTAACAAAAGCAAAGGTGTCCTGAGCAAACCATTGCTTTGGACAATTTCATGAAGCATTAGCATACTGTATTTGCACAATTGTAGGTCCCCTCGAGTGTGGTTAAATAGATTGATCTGTGATTGTGTGAATATGGTACCTATACTATTATTTTGAGTTTTTTTTCATCCCGACTGAATCTTCTAATTACTGTTGAAGGCCACTTCTAGCAATTTTTTTACATTGATAGATCTGAATAAAATTTACTGGATATATTCCTTTGCACATTTTAGTCATTTCTGCCAAATTACAGGATTGAAAGAGATGTAGATTGCTTATCATTGAATTTTATTGATCACTTCAAACCGTCCACCTGCGTTCCCACAGTTATTGGCTCCATTTTGTGCATGACCTCTCTTATGGCAAAGTGACCGCAATGACGCTACTGAGGTGACCCTACGATGCCTGGTATCCACAAGGCAATGATCGTGTGTGTTTGACCAGTACCTGACTGGTTTTACGTGCGAATTTTAGTTCCTTGAGGGTGGATGTGCAACGAGTGGCATGTAGCTAACGATTAACCTTAGTCTACATATTAGTGTTTTGGAAAGCAGTGCCAGTTGACCGCACGTAAGGTGTGGTTTTGCCATACCGGCTGAAGAGTGTGCAAGTGTGAACTTTACTACATTTATTTACAGTAAACTGTGCATTGTGAGAAAGGTGGCTCATGCTTGGCTAGTCTATTTTATCGCTGCACCCGATGCGATGTTAAACACTACTACCCACAAAGTTAAGCATTCTTTTTATTTAAAAATTTCCGTTTGACTGCAAACTGTTAAACGAATGCATTTCTTAGTCGGGGCATGTCAGGTGTCTGTCAGTGTCCACGCTCTGGCAAGTGTTATCTCTCCACTTTCACTCTCTCTCTCATATCAACAGCTGCAGGCGCGCGCTAATCCTCGCCCCTAGCAACCTCAGCAGGTGGTGCGGGTGGAGTAGCAGAGAGTGAGTGGAGAGGAGGATCACCCTCACACGATTCACATGCATGTGAACAGGCATATGAATGTTAACAGGGATGTTCTACTCCATCGGAGGCGAATGGCGATCGTTTTGCCTCTGAATGCATCCGAATGGCCGCTTTCATTGTCCAACAGATCCAAGGAGCCTGTACACATGGCACGGTCAATCACAGACATAGTACAGCAGGTGCGCTGCAGTCACATTTTCACAGAGCATCTGCTCTTCACCGCTTTCATATTCCGCACTGACGAGACCACCTTGCCTAACATGACTCCCATTTTTTACCTTTTTTTATACGTCACGTGGAGACAATGCTGTTTAGTTGGGTTCCGGCCTTCAGCATTTTTGCTTATTTCAAGTTATTTTCGAGTTTGCCAAGTGTTTTTTTACTATTGGGACTGTGACAGGAGCGTCCAAGGGCAATTACTTTGACATGCTCGAAATTTGTGGGAGTTTACATTTAAGCTCCCAAAGCAGGGCCATTATTTTAACCAAGGACCAATCACGGCTACAAAAAAAAACACACACCATCCATCACAGAGTTTGCACATGTTATAACTTAAAATCTGCAGCAGACAACAGCACAGACCACTTAGAACAGCAGTAAAAAAATCAACACTATCAGTGTAGACGGCAACAAGCACACATGCTAATGTGGATAGACAGCAGATAATAGAACGAATAAATAAAAATAGAAAACAAGGGCAAGCACGAGAAAACTGAACTCCAGTAAGGCCAAGAACAAAAATAATGAGACTGTACATGTACCACCTATATGAGCATCTAGCGGCTTTTTTTAAAAAATGAGTCCAATAGAAAAAAAGAGGAGGGCACAAGAGGAAGATGACAGTGCCAGTCAGTAAGTGGCTCAGCCATGCATAGATGCAGCGCACGTCATGCGAAAGGTCGCAGGAAGGCAGCGGCGGGCAGGTGCCGGAAGAAATAATAAAAGACGTGCAGGAAAGCCCATCCATACAGCACGCAGGCACTACAGGGACGACAGGCAGCAGTCTCCAGGATGTTCTGGGAGATAGAAAAAGAGAGAAGGAGACAAAAGAAACGGGAAACACTTCATTTTCTCTGTCCGGAAAGGGGCACCAAGAATGAAACATTCAATAAAAGTTCACTAAAGAGGAATATGATTGTTCACGTATTACTAAATCTCGATTTCACCATAGCGAGAGCAACGCTGTTGTCAAGAAAAGAAAGTACACATGGCGAATGCCACCTTGCCTCCCTGATGTTTCCGCACCAGCTTCCCGTGACAGCAGATTTTTATGGCATGTGCCTGGTTCCTATGTAATCTGCACCCAGACGTTTGTACCCCACGATGCAAAGCATGTGGGATGGCTCACGCTAACCTCAACCACATCTAGGCATATTCCGCAATGACGCACTCCATTAAACACAGCACCAACCTCCCATTCAAGATAACCCTTCCTGAGCAGAGGGTGGCTATGCTGCCCAGTGTGTGCCCGGATGACCGACTATAGGACGTTCGACTGGCCAAAGACGCTTCCAGAACTCAAGGTCTAGCCGTCGCCTGAGGAAGGGAGGCTCCGGTAGGACTAGTCTTCCAGTCCTCACCTCCCTTGACCTCGGCAAAGACAAAAGTATTTCTCTCTCTTGCATACAAAAATTCATTTACACTGTATTCTAGAGGATATCTAGTCTTATAACAGCAAGTTCAAGAAAATTTTGCTGAAACAATGTGGCTAAACTACACAAAATACTTCGAAATTCATGGCATGACATCATCAGAAAACACAGGGTATTCGTGGCTGATAAGCCATCTTCCCAATCCGTATTTCGGAGCAGAAGTGCACAAGGATAGATAGGGTCAGCAGACAGCTCAACATTCCGACAAAGCTGTGACAATTTTGAAGATGCGAAACTGTATGATGCTGAAGTGAAAAATAAAGAATACAAAAAAATTTGCCGCAGATAGGGAGAAAGTGTACCCCTCTCTCACCTAGCTGCCGGCGCAGCTCGTTGGCCTCGTGAGTGAGGGTACGCTCGATCTCCTGCTTGCAGTTCATGTCGGCGCTGGCCTGGTCTCGCAGGAACAGGATCTGACCCCGGAGGTTCTCTTCTAGAGTCTCCTTGTCTAGCTGCACCTTGATGAGGTCCTCCTGCAGCTGCAGGCACTGAAAGCGAAGCTCCTACACACAAACAGAGCATAAGACACATTCATTCTTTCATTCCTACACCCTGCACTTCCACACCATCGCAGGACTGAAGCAGACTGGGCCACACAATGGTATTGCAAATGTGTTTAATCCAAAGACACTGCCTAGGCTCAAGTGCAAGTAGCACAACTCCCATCGGGACTCTCACACGATCACCTAAAATGACTCGAAAGTGAAAGCCATCATCTTCTTTTTCTTCTCAGTCGGCATACACATCCTTCACAGCCCCCTCTGAAAGCCTTCAGTACTGAAAGTGATTTTGCACTGTCTCCTGGATCGGCAGCGTTGCAAGCTTCCTGCACCTCGCTTGATTTTGTACTGCCTCCGTAATCGACACCTTTGACCAAGTGACAATGGTGTGTGATGACATCACACTATGTGACGTCACAGTAAAATCATGATGTCACAACGATATCCCACTTCAGCAACACCTGTGATGCCGTAATGCCATGATGACACCAAGTGACATCATAACATGATGTCACAAGGCAAAATCATGTCATGTTTAAATCACTGGTGTTAACGTGGACAATACAGACACGAACAGTCAATTTTTGCGTCCGATGATGAATCTAAGGCTTTCCCACATCGGATGGCTAAGAGGCAGCAAAAACAAATATGATGCTGCCACACGAATATCACTTCCCACAGATATGATGCTAACAAGTGGTCCACTTGTGAATAGAAAAAGTGCTAAGCATTGTGCTACGTTAATTTAGCGACTCATACACAGTGATTGTCATTTATCTTACTGTTGGGTGGGTCATTATTTGGGTTACACACCAACAGCATCATACTCTTCATTAGAACAGGTGGTTACCATTTCAGCCACAAGACTGGCAGCTGCTAGGGACCAAATTTTCATGAATGTACAGTGCACGAAATATGCACAAGATTTGAAGATAAACAGAAGCAAAATTTATATAGAAATTTCGTGAGGAAGTTGGCTTCATGGCACTTCACAGTACCGCAAGAAAGACCAGTTTCGCAACAGTAAGCTTTTTTTTAAATAATTCTTCCGTGGTGTGCAGTTGGGATGAACTGAACTAACGTAGCGTACTGGGTGCGTGGGTTACATCCAGGGGTGATTACAGCTTGCCCTAACCAGTAATCCACCTCCTGCCTTGCACTCACCTCTAGAGAGTCGGGCAGATTGATGGGCTGATCCTGCAGCTGCCTTGCCTTGGCCACGTACCGTCCCAGTAGCTGCTGGTTCTCTCGACTCAACCTCTCGGCCTCGTCTCGCAGCCTCACCAGCTGCGCGTGCAGCCGCGACAGCTCCTCGTTCGCCTGTTGCGAGCATTCGGCATGCGCCTGCTGGGTTTCTGCGAGGGCTGCTTCGGAGGCTCCCAGGCGGGACTGCAGCTCGGACACCTGCGGCACAACTTGCATGAAGGTGTAGCACCACCTACATTGACGAGTTAGCATGAAAGTTACTTTCACTGCATTCCCAAGCCGAGGGAGTTATTTCACTGTATTCACAAGCAGAAGGGTGGCTGTGTGGTAGAACACCTTCTTGACACAGAAATGACCTGAGTTCGATGCTCACTCAGACCCAAAATTTTTTATTATTTACTTTATTTGCATCTTTCTTGATTTTTTGGTAGTATACAAGCTATTTACAAAGGTGATTGCTAACAGAGTTAAGAAAACACTAGAATTCAATCAACCAAAGGAACAAGCAGGATTTCAAACAGGCTACTCAACAATCGCTTACATTCATACTATCAATCAAATAATAGAGAAATGCTCAGAGTATAGCCAACCACTATACATAGCCTTCATAGATTACGAGAAGCCATTTGATTCAGTAGAAATATCAGCACTCATGCAGACACTGCGGAATCAGGGCGTCGATGAAGCTTATAAAAACATCCTGGAAGAAATCTACGGGTTATCAACTGCAACCATGGTGCTTCATAAAGAAAGCAACAGAATACCAACCAAGAAGGGTGTAAGGCAGGGGGGATACAATTTCCCCAATGCTATCTACTGCGTGTTTACAGGATGTTTTCAGAGGCCTAGAATGGGAGCAGTTAGGCATAAGAGTGAATGGACAGTACCTTAGTAACCTGCGCTTCACCGATGACAATGCATTGCTGAGTAACACGGGGGACGAATTGCAACTCATGATTACGGATTTAGACAAGGAGAGCAGAAAGGTGGGTCTTAAAATTAATCTGCAGAAAACGAAGTAATGTACAACAACCTTGTAAGAGAGCAGCGCTTGGAGATAGGTAATAAGTCCACTTCAAGTTGTAAAAGACTGTCTGCTTAGGCCAGGTAATAACCGCGGAGCCGAAGCATGAGATTGAAGTAACCAGAAGAATGGGATGGAGCACATTTGTCAAGCACCCTCAAATTATGACAGGTAGATTGCCAGTCCCTCAAGAGGAAGGTATATAACAGCTGTATCTTGCCGGTACTTGGCTACGGAGCAGAAACCTGGAGACTTACAAAGAGGGTTCAACTTGATTTGAGGATGACGCAGCGAGCAATGGAAAGAAAAATGGTAGGTGTAACCTTAACTCTTTCCTTACCGTACCATAGAGCATCGATCACTATGGATGGATGGTTTTAAAAGCTCCACTAAAAATAGAAATGCGCACTTGCAGACACTTAATGCCATCTGGCCAGAAATATAAGAACTACTCTACACTTCTTTTTTTGTTTCACTCTATCGGCGGGAGCTCCCGCCCAAAAAAAAAAAAAAAAAACAGACAACGGAGGAGGTAGCATCGTGTTTTGCAACATGGCTCCGAAAGCGCATCGCCCGCCGCCGAAGAAGAAACTTCGGAAACGTGATTCCGCTGCCTCTACTGCTCATGATCTTGATTTGAGCTATAGTGAGGATTCTGTAGAAGAAGTTGGATCATCAGATTTCCACTCAGACAGCGATGATTCATCTCCACAGCCCGGACCTTCAACTCGTGTGTCAAAGTGTGTAGGTTCGGATGTCGGTGTTGTTTTTATACCGTGAGCGTGTTTTGTAAGTGATGACACTTGTTTACGGTTTCTTACTAGGGTGTCAACTACCTATGGAGGCGATATTCTGCCGAATGCACCATGCAAAGTCAAGTTCTTACCTAAACGAACACTTGGAGTACATCTAGATGTGACGCGCCGGAGTGAGACACAAGTTTTATCCGCGCACTGGACATGTTTATGATGTTTTTCACTGCTGAATCAATCTCAACTGTCTGTCAATACACCAACAAGTACGCTTGGATGAAAATTTTCGAAAAACCCAGCTACGCAGAAGCAGACGGCTCTTGTCTTGAGGTCACGCCACTGGAGATGCAGTTCATTGCACTCCTCATTTACATGAGTATCGTGCAAGTGCCACGCCTTCATATGTACTGGAACACTGGGTCAATATACGGTGGTCTCTTTCCAGCACAAATCATGAGTAGGAAGCGTTTCTTTTCTCTCCTCGCTTTCTTGCACGTCTCTGATCCGGATCAGAGTACTGCATCAGCCGGAAAACTGTGGAAGGTGTGGCCACTGCTTCAACTTATCAATGAGGTGCCAGCACAATTTTTCCAGCCACCGGAAGCCATTGCAGTAGATGAAAGGATGGTGAAATCGAAAGCAAGATCGGGAATTAGGCAATATATTCCTTATAAGGTGACGAAGTAGGGTTACAAATTGTGGGTTTTAGCTAAATCTGAAACAGGGTACACTTTACAGTTCTTTGTCTACACAGGTAAGAGGGAGACACCAGGACCACATGGATTGGCTTTTGATGTTGTCAGTAAACTTTGTGAAAAATACTTAAAACAAGGGTACAAAATTTACATGGACAATTTTTATACCTCAAAGCACCTATTCGAACATCTCCTGCAATGCAATACGCTGGCGTGTGGAACGACAAGAAAAGATCGCCGAGGCTTCCCAGGCGATCTGAAAGAAACAAAATGGGAAAGGAAGGCTGACCGGGGGGTACATTCGGTGGAACAGGGATAAAAACATCTTGTTTCTCCAGTGGAAAGACCGCAAGGCAGTAAATCTAATGAAAACAATCCACACAGCGAACAAACACATTTAGGCAAAAAGACGTCAAAAAGTGGGGAAGCGATGGACAGAGAGAACAATAAGGAAGCCCTTGTTAGTGCATGACTACAATGCAAGCATGTTGGGGGTAGACAAATCTGACCAGATAATTGGCACATACAATGTCCTTCGGAAATGCGCACGATGGTGGAAAGCACTGTTCTTCCATTGTATCGACATAGCCTGCGTACATAGCTTTATTCTTCTTCAAGAGCATCGCAAACAGCATCCCAACATTCCTGAGCTAAATTTGAGTTCCCGATTTGATCAGCTTTCTTTCCGAGAGATGCTCATCCAGGAAATTTTGAACCTAAATGATAACCAACCTGTCAGAGTTTATCTGCCACCCGACTGGATTCGGCACGAGCCGGAAATGGTTGACAGCCGAAGAAACTGCAAGTTGTGCTACGAGAACACAAAGAAGGAAGTGAAAACAAATGTTCTTTGCAGCACCTGTGAAGCACATCTCTGCTTTACCACCACGCGCAACTGCTTCTCGAAGTGGCACATGCGTCATGGGCGCTAAGGTGAGAGCCCGCTAAAAATATACTTTCTACCCGAGAATGTTCAAATTCGGAAATATTACTCCTGATATTATAAGCTACAATTTGTATATTTCAGTTTTGTTTTAATCTAAATGCTGTAATGTGTAACAGCAATTTTATATCTTTTCTTGTACACTTTTAGTTTTCCTCAAATTTCAGAAAAAAATTATGAAACAATATGAGGTTGTTTGCTTTGAATTTTATTGCATTAGAAAGACGCATGAATGGGCTACATTTTAATATAGAATAACCCATTTTACACACAACAGTTTCTGATAAAAAAAAAATATCATGTAGACACACATTGAAAAGGCCAGTTTTCTACGGTAAGGAAAGAGTTAAGGGATAAGAAGTGAGCCGAGTAGATAAGGGAACAAATGAGGGTTAAGGAAACGAGGGTTAAGGATAGGAAATGGACATGGACCGGGCATGTAGCACGTAAACAGGATAACCGCTGGTCATTAACTGGTCATTAAGAGTAACTAACTGGATTCCCAGAGAAGGCAACCAGGTCAGGAGGAGACAGAAGGTTAGGTGGGCAGATGAGATTAAGAAGTTTGCAAGTATAAATTGGCAACAGCAAGCACAGGACCGGGTTAACTGCTGGAACATGGGAGAGGCCTTTGTCCTGCAGTGGACGTAGTCGGGCTGATGGTGATGATGATTTTTTGGTCATGCAGAGATGATTTTCCGCTCACAAGCAATGGCGCCGACACTTACGCAGACACCGACACTGGAATTTCTGAGAAACAAGCCTTTTAACGCTATTGCGTTAACATAGTTACCAATTTCTTTCTGGTTTTCTTGAGCGAAATTTACAGTAAGCCTCTCTTTTTTAATGTGTGAACCAACGATATAAAGTGCTGACCTTTATTGAGGGAGGTAGGTAATACCTACATGTTATGCGAATGCAGAAATTAACTATGTGCAGGTGGAAGAGATACTAAGCAGAGAAGCCACCTGCTTGAGATGGCTGATTGCATCGCACTAACAGGACAAGTGGAAAAAACACAGAGACCAGAGTTTACCCCATGGGTGTTAGACCTATCATGTTCGCCATCAACGTTGCCAATTAAATTTACCGTCGAAGCTCCTCGACAACGTTCCCCATAAATTTCCCCATCAATGTTCCGAGCCAACACTCCCCGCCAATGCTCTCCGTCAAGACTCCCCACCAAGGTTCACAATAAATGTTCACAATCAATGCTCATTACCAGTGTTCATCATTAAAGCAATGTTGCACAAAGCACTATTCAGCATGCTGTACCATCATGCCCCCTAGAAAGTTAATTGGCAATCATTGGAACATACTCGGCAAAGACTCCATGATTATTTGCCATTTCTCGCACTCGCAAATGTTCAATGAACCAACCTGCTGCTGGACATCAGTGGCCGAGTCTGCGAAGCGCTGCTCCAGCTGCTGCCGGTAGTCGCGCTCCCGGCTCAGGTCCTGCCTTGCCGTGGCGAGTTCCTTGATGTGCCGGTCCAAGTCCCGCTGCACCTGCTGCAACTGCAGCTCATAGTTGCTGCACATTTCACACGGCTGGCACAGGCGCTCTCGCAGCCGCTTCAGCTGTGTCAGGGTGGGAGGACAATTTGAAATATTTTTTCTAATTTTGCGGCCCGAAGCCATGATAAATTTATGAGAGGGGCCATAGACGATGGCTACAGAAGTTGGGTTGCACTAGGTCTATGCAAATATTTGGGCATATCAAATATTCTAATGAATATTAGGTATTCAAATTCGCTTCAATTAGAATTTGAGTTATAAGAAGTTTCAAAGCATTCGAAATGAACGAAAAAGATGCATCTTAGTCTGCATTAAACCCTTTGTAAAGGTGGTTTCACTACAATAGAGGAATGCTATGTCTAGAGCACCTTTCCAAAGAAAATCCACACTGCTGCGAAGCCCCCCTTGAAGGTTAAATGAACACCCGTTCAGTGGCCTCACATCTATTCTTTCTTTTTTAGATTCAAAGCAGCTCTTCGACTAGCGTGTGTAACGCTGTCCCTCTGTACACCCCCACTGCGCATGCTCGCGTACTGTGCCGGCCCAGGAAGACACCAACAAAACTGTTGCTCTCCTCCCCCTCTCTCGCCTCACAAGGCCGATGCGAGCAGCGTCTGCTAATAAAAGAAAACGATTGCTCGCGCTGCACAACCGTTCACTGGCCACCTCATATGTGTAGGCACTGGACCGCGCATTTAAAATTCAGTCAAGGGCGTCTTGGTTTTCGCCTGATGAGCGCCAGCGCCAACGTCGCCGCCATTGTGAACATTAGCGCCCGCTGCTTCACATCTACACCTAGTTCCCTTTAGCAGGAGACGGGCCAAGTTCTTCAAGTTTAGATGCTTGTTATGCTAGTTCATATGCTCTAAGTACAGTAAATTTTAAAATGTAACATATTCTACAGGTTATCACTAGCACTCTACCGGAAGTCAAACCCTGCTACTGTTCACAGTTGCTGCCACTTCCTTTGAACCAAAAAGAACGACATACGCACATGCCTCGTTTCAGTTTTTGAAAAATATTGTGCAAGTTGGTTACGTCACAACAAATATGCTCATTTTTCTTCATATGTGACACATACTATTCTAATTCGATTCAAAATTATTTTAACCACATCATTCGCAACAAACTTAAAATTTACGCATACCTCTTCCTCAAGTAGCCTCCATTCCTTATCGCTGACAACTCGCTTGCCGACACCAAGTCCGTCGTCGTAGTCCGTGCGAGCCACTTCCATCAAGGATTTGCGGGCTTCCATTTCGGGTGTCGCATCTGCAATTTCACACGCACAAAGAAATGAACTTTGCTCCAAAAGAGAAGATTTGGACAGGCTTAATAAATATTGCCATTCAACAATGAAAGAGTCCTCTTGCAATGAGAGGCAGGTCTTAATCAGGTTCTGCTCTGCACTCGCAAACTTGCACGCAAAGTAGAAAGTGTTCTGGTTTTAAGCAATGAAACAAGTGTGTGTAAAGGAAGCAATTTAATCAGATGTAAGGGTGCAATGACTGATGACTGAGCTCACCATTTCTATACCAACTTCATGATCATTTATTATTCCTGGGTGGGGCATTACATGGAAGGTGGGGGTCAGGGGGAATTGACAAATATCCCACAACTTGAATAATTCTCGCACTACTGGGCATGAACATGCATAACAAAATATTTTAAAACACTTTAAGGTGCACTTCTGGTACATGAAAGTCACCGCAGCATGATGGCATAAATGGAAGCTTTTCTATTTTACTGCCACTGCTGCCAACTATTCACTGGGGGCACTGCGAACTATGAGAAACATCATTAATTGGGCAGCAACATCCACTCTGCTAACACAGTTCCTTTCACGCTACAGATACCGAAAACTGCCAAAATACTTACAAGCTTTTGTTCGGCCCATAGTGTGTCGTTCTAGGCACGGAAAGAAGCGTTGCGCAGCGAGATCACGCAAGAGCACAAATGCAACAACATACTGTACGAATTGATGCAGAGAGAAAAAGATGATTTAAAACAAATACACTGCACAATACAGCGGAGCCCACATATGGGAAACACATTCCTCGGTGCAAGAAGCTTTTCGTACAAGAAGTGATTAAAACTCGACTGGCACTAAGAGCAACTCATGGCAAAGTCGAATAGGTGCAGCATGGAGCCAGCACGATGCAGTGCAAGTAAAATGGGTAGGCTGTGCAAACACTGCCTCATACAAAACTGCTTGACAAAATAGCCTTCATTTTACCTCTGATGAGCCTGTGATGAGTGCTTGCTCTTTCTTTTTAACAAATCTCTGTTATACCTGTGTCACACGGGCGTGCAAAAAGTCTTTTAAGTAAGCGGTCTTTTACGAAATTGAAAGACTTTTAACAAAGAGGTGTTTGCGGCGCAGACACACGGCAGCAACGATCTCCTTTTAGTGTTTTCGTTCGAAGACGCTAGCGAAAGCGTGGCGCTAGCAGTTAAAAGAGAAGCAATGAAAATTAAACGATGTATCACAATGTACAAATTAAAGACTTGTTGCACTGCTCGTTTCTTCAAATAAATTTGAGAATAAGAGATGAAGAAACACCAATGTGAATGTTTTTTGCACTAGAGAAGGAAGCATTCCCATACCTAGCGACGTGCACAAGTCCGTCTGGCACCACTGTGCTTTTATTTACCGTATTTGTTTTTCGCGGCTCTCGACACGTTATGGGCGACCGTACGGGAGAAAAAGCGAGAATCGCAAGCCTCACGGCCTGCCTTCTCGCTCTGGAAAGCTAGGCAGACGCTGCAAACGCCGCCAAGGAGAGGATAAAGCAGCGCAAGACCGAGCGTCACCACGTGATATTGCCGACGCGTTGTAGCGGCTTACGAGACTAGAAAAGGAAATAACCATTAAAAAAGTTCATTACACCTTCTGCAGGATAGGAAATTTGTTTTTACAAAGAGTTTAGATGACAGAAAAATAAGCATTCGCTCTTTTTTTCCCACCACTCGAAAATTGCTGGCGCCCACTGGTTTCTAGGCTACTCATTCGGAGCCGTAAAAGAGATCGACGAACGCCGTTTACGAAAAAGACCGCTTCTGAAAATGAGTTCGCTCTGTGCCGTGTGTCTGCTGCCAGGAACTCCTTTTCGGAAAAAGACCGCTTACTTAAAAGACTTTCAAGTGCCCGTGTGACAGGGGTATTAGCGATACAATGGCATGCCCCTAAAACAAACACCTCTGGACCAAAATGACATGAAAAACAAACGAATGTTTATGTTGGGGCAGTACTGCGAGCGTTACAAAGCATGACCTTTATAGTGCTCTAGAGGACCCGAGTACTTGGCGTTTGGCTGTAGCAAGGCAAGGCTTTTGCTATCACTTTTCTGTCTGCATTACACTACAATACAACACAAGGTAACAATTCAAACAGTGACAACTGTTCAGTAACAAGATGCAAACAATCTTTGCTGGCAAACTGGCCGAAAGCTAGCCAAGGGTCTTACCGGAGAGTGCGCTAAGCTGGTCTCCTGTCAAGCCAATGCCACCGGTGGTGATGGCGGCCCCGCTGTAGTCACCCAGGGACCGAGTGTCCTCCGTTCCTTTCATGGCGGGAACGGATAGAGAGTTGTCGGCGTCAGAGGGCAGGTCGGAGCTCGACAGGGATCGCCGGTGATTATGCTTCGCAGCCAAGAGAGTAGTGGACACCTTGCAGGCATTCAGGTCCGCTGGAGAGCTTCGCATACGCTGCTGAATGTCAAAAAGGATATGAATTTCTGTAGTGGCAACTTTTCCTGCGTTAACACCACACTACAAGCTGCATAGCAACTAGGGGTGCGAATATTTGAAACATCAAATACTCGAACCGAACATTTTAGTATTCAATCAGAATCACAAGGCACATTTGCTATTACAGTGAAAGTTCGTTATTTCACACCTCATTAATTCGAAATTTTGGATAATTCGAAATGGTCGCCGCAGTCCGGTCCACAGTGCATAGGAGACCATGTGTAAAACGATTCGTTGATTCGAACAGAAATTGCTGCCTCTACGGATAATTCGAAGCGCGCGCCGTCGAGCGTCATCATCGTCAAATACTAGTGGAAGCTTTTACGGTCGAACGATAGGCGGCACGACCAGTTTTTTCGAGCTTCAAGTGGCCTCCGAGCAAAGGGCGAGCAAAGTATGGCCTCCAAAATCCAGGGAGCAATTTTTTTTTTTTTTCGTAGCCCTCCCGCTATCTCAGCGCCTGGCGCCACTTGTACGCGGGACCCACGGGACGCTGAGGAGTCGGCGGAGTAGTCCTAGCAGTCCTAGGCAGCTCCCGGCAGCGTCACTTTGTTCCTCGAGCACGTTGTTCGCTCACGAATGATTTTGTGCGCGGGCGACAGGAAGGACTTCGGCATTGCGCTGCTCACTGCCATGCACATCTTGGTGCGTGCATGGGAACAGGTGACCGCGACCACAATCGCAAACTGTTTCCGCCACAGTGGATTTGCAGCTGGAAGTGCGCAGGATAGTTGTGACGTCGACGTGGATGGGGCTGAGCAGCTCATGCCAGTGGCATTGCCCGACACTCTTCGGGGCGTACGTTTTGCCGATTATGTTGAAGTTGACACCGGTGCATAGGTGTGTGGTGCCCCGACTGATGAGGACATTATCGCTCAAGTAGCTGGTGCGCAGCCTGATGCTGAAGAGCCAGAAGGTGAGGAAGACGAAAATGACGAAGCGCCTGTGCGCCCGTCAGCTTCTGCGGTGATGGAGGCACTTAATGTGGCGCGTCTCTTCTTCAGCTTTGAAGAGGGTGAAGAGGATTCCCTGTGCCGCGTCCGCGCGCTGGAACAGGGAGCCGCAGCTGTGGCATTCAGAGAAAAGAAGCAGATGGTCATCACCGACTTTTTTGGCCAATAAATATTTTTCGTGCCCCCACCCCCGAAATCCATCATTTTTGCTCACTTTCATTATTTCGAATTTTCTTTAATTTGAAATTGCTCAGCGTTCCCGTGGAATTCGAATTAACGAGCTTTTACTGTAGAAATATTTGAACACCACAAAACTTAAGAGGTATTAAAAATAGCTCACAAAATTACAAACCAGAATTTCGTCAAGTTTAATGCAAAAATAGATAAATTACCGTATTTACTCGATTCTACCGCGCCCTTGATTGTAACGTGCACTTGATTTCCACAGCGAAAAAAAAAAAACTTAAGACATCGATTGCAACGCGCACCATTTTTTCTCGCTGGCCCGCACGATCACACCACTCGAAAAAACGACTCCTTTCGGGAGCGTCTTCCATTTAAGTATGAGGTACGGGCGAAGCTTGTGCCCATCTGACGTGTAACAGAGCATTGCCGTCACTGTAGTTTTACCGTGGACCGATGTCAGCACGCGAACTTGCTTCGCCCCCTTCTCTACGGTTGTGGTGCCAGGCACGTCGAAGTAAAGAGGCGTCTGATCGGCATTCCCGATTTGCCCAAGCAGGTAGCCGTTGTTGTGCCGCAAGTTCAGGACGAACCTCTGAAAACTGTGAAGCTTTTTATCATACTCCTCCGCAAAAATTTTCGCATATGCATAATCCCCTTCGGAGGGAAAAGCCGTTCCTCTTCATAAAGCTAGTTAGCCAGCACCTGCTCGCTTCAAACTGGCTCTGCATTAGACCTTTATCTAAGACTAATTGCATAGCCCGCACTTGGAGCAGTTTTGTCGTCACGGGCCGCTGTGCCGCTCGCAGCTCAAGCACATACTCGCCGAGCAGCTCTTTAATTTGTGGAAACCGACCCTGCTGTGGTACACTGAAGCCTTTGCGTGAAGCTTTGCTGTCAACAATCTTCTGCTTTTGTTTCCGCCGGTCCCGCACGCACGTTTCGGGAACTCCGAACGACCGCGATGCGGCCCGATTTCCGTCCGTTTCTGCACACGCGATGACTTTTCTTTTAAAAGTGGCATCGTGGTGCACTCGAGTTTTTGGAGTCGGCCCTTCCACGCCGTCGATGCTAATGCACTACTAGATGACGAACTCCTCAGCACACGTACGAAGTGCCGCACATGGGAAACACATAGGCAGAAATGGCCGACGCGCCATGCCGACGCATGTAGGGGGCGACCATTTTGGATTTGCCGATGGCAATAGATTGACCGTAATTTTTTCGTTCGTACTCTATTCTAACACGCATGCGATTTATGAACTCGCTTAACCGGAAAAAAGGTGCGCGTTATATTCGAGTAATTACGGTAGCATTGATTGCAACACACACACCCCCACTCCCTTTTTCAGAACGTGTTTTCATCAACTCGAGAGTCTACTCCCGAGTTTATCCCTTTTTTGGGACCTGCCCACCTCACTTGGCAAAGTGCAGATCAAGCAAGCATGCCACTAACAACAATTCTTATACATTTTAGTTGACTTATGTTGCCTTCCTGATTTGCGCATTGACACTTGTTTCTTTATTTTGTCTTTTTTTTCTTGTGTGTTATAAATGTTGTACCCACCCCCTCTGTAATGCCCTACGGGCCCTGAGGGTATTCTAATAAAATAAAATAAAAATAAAACAATGAAAGGAGAGAACAGAAAGGCCTTCTATGAGTAAAAAATCACATAAGCAGCACAGTTTTTGCATTCGGAATATCTAGGTGGCGTTTACTCTTTCACGGCATCAGCCCGAATAGAAGGGAGGTAGCCCTCGGCACACCTGCAGACCTATAAGACGTGGCGCTACGCGTAAGCCAATTCATTTACACAAGAGCTGTCCCATGCGTGACCGTATTCATAAAGACTGCAGCATCAGCTATGATCACCCACGTCTGGAAGTAGTGATCGAGAAGACATAACTAGAAGAGTAGCCACTCACGTCGTTTGACTTCCTTCCTAGGAGGGAGCTGGCTTTGGAGAATAATCGGGGCTCCACGGCCACGAACCGGTGGCCAGCCTTGGGGCTGCTTGTGGGCAGGGGAGAGACAGAATGCAGGGCCTCCTGCATCTCGGGTTCTTGCAGTGGGCAGGGGACTAGCTCAGAGTTTGTGCCTGCAAACCAGCGAATGGAAATCTCTTAAAAAGTTGTCACTCAAGCGGAACAACTGCATCTAATACGGCAGGTCCACACTTTAATTATACACCCTTCTTCCCCTCACCGTCAAAAGAACTCCCACAAAACGGAACATATTTTGCTGGTCCCTAGAGGATTCATTCAATGAGTCTACTGCAACGAAATGCCAAAACCATGCGGATGCATCATTCTCAAATTAAGGCTCACTAAAAAGGTTTCCACACAGAAAGGATAACTACAGGTGTAACCTGAAGGAAGGAGGAGAGAGCTGATAGTGTCAGGGAACCCAAGTGTTAAGGACATCTTAGTCGAAATCAAGAAGTGGGCATGGGCAGGGCATGTGATACGAAAGCAAGAGAACTTTTGATCGTTGATAGTACCACGCTGAATTCTAAGAGAAGACAGTCACAAGAGGAGGAGGCAGAAGGTTAGGCAGCAGATGAGATTAAGGGCTACTTTTGTTGCACAAATTACAAAAAAAAAAAAACTACATGCTGAAAAGAAAAACATACAGAACACATCACCGCACCAGTTTTGTACATCTGTCATTGCATTGTCTAGATTTTTTTTTACTTTGCACAACACCACTAGATCATGTTTAATAACCCGGTAGTAGGTAACAAGTTACACTTGAGGTTAAAAAGTCTGCAGGGATGATGTGGCAGCTGCAAGTACATGACTGTGTTAACTGGTGGTACATGAAAGAGGCCTCAGCTCTGCAGTGGGCGTAATCAGGCTTTGGCTGCTGATTGTGACGACATTCATTATGCAGATATTTCACCTCTTCAAATCATTCATAACAAAACACTGAGAGTTATCTTCAGAAACCCTTCAGTGTATTTCCAGCTGTGCTCTGGCTCATGTAACCCACATATGCTATGAGCAAACAAGAGCAATCAAAAATCAGTCACAGCAGTAGGTTATACCATAGTCTTGACTACACGGGTGTACCTGTGGTAGTAGCGGCGAATGACACAACGTTCTCTCCTTCTTTCTTCCGCGGACTTGTCGGCGGAACGTCGACTTTGCGCAGGTGTGCCAGGTGGCGTTGCTGGTCGGCCGTTAGCACCGCTTGAAGGCGTGCAAGGTCCCGCACGTGAGCCTGCTGGGCCTCCAGGAACCGGTCATTGGCCATCTGCCACGTGCGCTTCAGGCAGCTGTGCTCCCGCTTTTCCCGTTCCAGCAGGGTGCACACTGAGAGCCATTGCAGCCACGCAACAATGAAGGGAAGCACATCTTCGGTGACGCAAACACATTAAGCATATCAGCACTACCACAAGCCATACGCGTGTGGAATGATCTTCCTGATGATATTGCCTCTGGTAGTGAAGTAACACATTTCGACATGAACTTGAGGCGCATGTTCTAACAATAGTGTCGCAAGATTGTTTTATTTAAAGGGATCCTGAACCAAACTTTTTCTGCCAATATTTTGATCGAGACTAGAAGACTGGGCACTGAAATCGATAGACGTATCTTTTATTTCAGGCAGAACCTGAGGGCAAACGGTAAATTTAATCCCTTTTTCACAAACTGCTGCACGTAGCCGCCACATTTTGAACTGAAAGAAGTGCCGTTCGGTGATGTTTCAGGCACCGAAAATGGGCATGCCAACACCGAGCCTGCACGTCTCAACCCGCTCAGCTCCCACTACGGTTCCTCAAACCACTGCGAACGGCACCAGCAGCAAACACTGCTCCTGGGTAGGGTAATGTCTCCAAACGGTACGGCATGCCTCGACATTTCTGAACGGTGAGAGTGGGATGCAAAGAAGAGGTGCCAAAGAGGAAGAGGACTGGAATATGCGCACACTACGTGCACCGCAATGAATGTGACGTCGTGGCTCAGACTGGCGTGCGGCCGCTACGCAGGGACAATCTGCCAAAAATACAATAAAACATTCAAGAATCCATGAAATAAACTCTGTTTACTCTGTTTATCATAACAGTAGTGTCCTCCAACTAGAATATCTACGTTTTCATCAGTTTTGCAAGTTTTATTCAGTATTGCTTTAACTTCAAAGGTTCACTTATTTTACAAAGTATCCCATATCCTTCTCCTTCACATTGCTGTTGGCTCTCACTAACGTACTACATTGCTACCCTTGTTGTACTACATTTTTCTTGGTTCTTAATATCCACTTGCTTTCTAACCCTGATCCTTACAGTTCTCTTGTCATTTAATTGTAACCCCCCTTTACAGTACGCCTTTAAACAAGGAGATATTTTCAATAAATAGATAAGTAAAGGAGTACAACCCTGAACAATTCAGCATGTTCTGTCAAAGCGTCGACAGACCGTGTACACAGACTGTCACTTTCAGTCATGACCAACCAGTTGGACAACCGGCCCCTCTCGGGAAGGAAGAATTCTACGGCACAGACAGGACCTGGCATGGCACTGAAAGGCTGGGCAAGCGCTACTACACTTTTTGTGATCCATCGACATTTGTGAACACCTTCCCAGTTGTTTTCTTGCTTCCCTTCTCTTTGACCTCTTGTCTGTCTGTTTTCCCATACCAGTTATCGGTAACACGCTGACAACTCTTCTCGTAAGCTTCCCAACCTTTTCTTTTTAACTTCTCTTCGAATAAATCATTTATTAGAAAATCTAGCAGAACTTACCTATGAAACAAGAGAATTACTCAGACAGCCAAACATACTTAAGTTTCACTACAACCAATTGAATTGGGCATTACAGGTCTTCACAGTCTGCATTGTTCAATTTGACAGCCAAAGTCATTACGCTGCACATAAAAGCTCCTCTTGCCCATACACCCTATTGAGTGAAGCATGGCAGTGCGTTCTACTTCGCTTCGTTGCCACAACCGCCACACTCAAAAGTTTCTAAAAAGTAAGCAGACCAAAACCATAAGTACGGTGTCGCAACAGCCTTTGTGGCTGTATTAGTTTGTGGTTGTCACACTTCAAACAAAGTCCTCTCAAAATTGTGCTGTTATTTTTTTAAAGGTACCGACAAGTTTTTGTTCGAGCTCACCTTCCTGAAACTGCTTGCGCAGCTGGTCCATGTCTTCCTGCATGACCGTCTTCTGGGTGTTGAGGACGGCCACGTACATCTCCAGATCACTGCGCGATGCCTTCTCCGCCTGCAGTCCTTTGCACAAGCTCGTCAACTGAAGAAGATGTAGAACAAGAAGGCGACATAGTTGCAGCAGGCCAGTTTTTTGAACAGGAACACACAATCAACCATAAGTAGCTCGGTGCAACCAACGCACACTTTTTTTTTTTTGCGTATACCCCGCACCCAGAACACTGATTCAGGAAAATTTTTCGAAATAAAACCCCTACATATTGCCACAAAACTAGCTGTTCTTGCATAACTGTGAAATATTGCTGTGAAGCCACCCAGCATACTAAAACTTCAGTTTTTTGTCTCGACTTCAGCTTCAAGTTTTCAGTATTTTGTTTTGGTGCATGTTTACTGCTCCAGCTGTCTCAACACACAGTACGCACAAATATTTAACTCTGCGAGTGAACAAATCGCAAGATTTGCAGTGCGATACATGTAGTAGGCGGTGCTGGCAATTTCCTATACACCTGTGGACTGCATTTATACAGCTTCTGCCAGTGCCTCCAGATAAGGCAAGAACATATCAAACTCAAAACGCAAGGTTACATGCTTTCCTTCTCGAGAAAGCCCGGCATTTCCAGCCAGACAGTCAAGGTCGATACACTGCATACAAAGCTACCAAATGCGGTAAATTTGGGAAATCTCAAATCGAACTCAAATTCATGAAGCATGTAGAAGAGATACATAGCAAGTGCAGAGTTCAAGTTTAATTCACTGGCACTAGGCAATGCACTGTACAGCCTGGATACACACTCATGTGTAGGTGCACTCTGTGTTTGTCAGGGGCATGTCGCATCTTTCGCATTGTTGCCTTCAAATATAGCACCGACAATTTACTGAGAAATCTGCCCCAATAACTAGGCAAGGCATACAGACGATTCATTTTTTGACCGGTAGACATAAACGTAAAGCCAGACGATTTGGCCAAACTGGCCGTCACATTGAGTGAACTGTCAGATAAATATCTCGAACCAAAGAACGAAACAAGGTAGACCTGCTTTTCTTGAAAAGCCAGTTCGCACTGAACCTACTGAGCAATGCCAAGTTTAATGCGCCTGTTTCTTCATTGCAAATCACTGGTTCCCGACTAAGTTAGACAGCGTAAATAGAACAAAAGATAAATAGTGGTAATACAGCTGTTTCATTCATTTTATTAATACTAGCTGCTTCATAAATTTGGCAGTTTAATTCATCAGTCCGTTGTGAGGCCACACCTGGCAATGCAACATGGCTACAGCAGTCGATGGTCGGGCACTGCTTCTCAAGCTCTTCGTGGTTGATTTCCGCCCGCATTTTCTCGCTGCATTATGCACCATCTTTAAAACATGATAAACATTCGTGGTTGATTTCCGCCCGCATTTTCTCGCTGCATTATGCACCATCTTTAAAACATTGGGCAAACTTCTTTTACTTGAAGTTCCCTTTTTTTTAGTTATGAACCAGAATGGATACAAGGTGGGCGAATGTTTCGGATTGCAAAGCGTTAATTATTGTGGCAGACCTTATCATCAAGATGGGAGAGGATTTCGGCAGGCGTGCCACCCCGCACTGCATCGCTGAGCGTGCCCGAGCCGAGGCCGTGGACGAGGCCCGTGAAGGCCGCCTCGTACACGTGCAGCTGCTCGTCTGTCGACCGAAGCTTGTCCTTGAGGGCCTTAATCTCCTCTTCCAGGGGCACCACCAGAGACCGGAGCATCTCCGCATCTTCTTGTGCCTGGTTCATAACACAGCACTGCATCGCGCGCTGCTTCACTCGAAATTTCGAAGCCCGTCATGCCAACACACCAGAGTACCATCTCATTTATGCATCCTAATAAGGCAGAAGTTCAGGGGAACACATCTATTATGCATGCAACGCACTCGAAGAGTCAATTATTCTTTACTCTATGGTACCTTGTAAAAATCTGGTCATAAAATATGGTTTTAGTGAAGCATGTTAGGCTGGGACACTGCAAAAAATGCAAAAGACAAACGCCATAATGATGTGCCACTGTAGATAAAAGTAAGTGAACTCTTTAATAACTGTAGCTCTGTGGCCATTCCGAGAAAGTTCCGTGCAAAATATATGGTCTCGCGAGTACAAAGCCGAACAGACATCTACTCTTATCGTTTTGAACATGCAGTAGTTTGTACAACTAGTCACACATTTATGCATCAAGTCACAATCCCACGCACCCTGCAGCTGCCAACTTAGTCAAACAGTGCAGTGAAAGGAACACTTCCGACAGGCCAAACTTGTTGGGACACATTTTAGATCGTTTCAGCCAGTTGCACAGCAAATTGTGGAGCATTTGCAGCCATGTAACTTGACACTCGATGGGCAAAACTTCCTCCCTTACTGATGCATCTTCACATTTAGTGCATTGCCCCATCCGAAATTAAATGTATGCGCTGACAAAAACAACAAAAATCGGAATGCAAAAAACATGCAGAAGACCGACATACACATGCACAGAGGAAAGCAAAGAAACAAAAGGCGTGGAAAATAGTATTTATTTAATAATGCTGCAACCCTAACAATCAGGACTTTTGTTATCCAAACAAAAAAATAACAATGAGCGTAAATGCAGAAAAAAGCTACACTGTTAATACATGCAGCACTAGTTTGTCAGAATGATAATGGTGAGAGTGTTGTACACTTACGTCCATCCACAGCTGTCAACGAACAGTAAAAACATGTTCACGGAGCACAACGACTTCTACATTGCCAGTTAACACATAGTAGGCCCTTGACAATAATACGCGAGCAAAGTGGCAACACTGAGTAATGCTACTTTACATATGCTAGTTTACATAAGTAACACTTAACATAAAGTACATAACATAACAGTGACACTATAAGACTATAAGTGCACTGCTAAGTGTTATGCAGAAACTGTTACCAATACCACTTGCAGCCACATGTGCAAGTGTAGGATTTATAAAGTGCATTTATAACTGAGTGGTACGTATTGGTAATGGTACTACAGTAACACTAACCTTATGTACCTAAGTCATTAAAATTTATACGTCCCTCATTCATGCGAAATCAGTTTGACGAAAAGTATACAAGTAAATGTTCACTTTTGCTCACTAAACAAGCAAAATTGAAATTTGCAGCATCTAGCAGAAAGTTCACTAAAACGGCAACACAATATGCAGCTTGCCTGTTTAGGCACTTCTGAATTCTTTCTATTAGGTAATGTAAAAACATTTTAAAAACTAGAGGACTTATGATAATTACATCACGCAGACACAGTTCAACGGTTACATCCACTTCCAAGCATACCAGGCCCATCGGAGATACCGTGAACCCCAGCTTATATAGCTCGGGACACTCCATTTCGACCCCCCCATACATAAAGCTGCAGCACCACACAGACACAAGGAATTAACGTCGTGCAGTGCAAGTACAGTCGCCACAGTAGCCAACATTGTTCAAACTCGTTATAACTGCTGGAAGAAGGTGGAATCATCACAAACATCTTTCGCACAGATTTCATTACAGTTATGTGATTATTAAGTTGACTATAATGAAAGCCACTGTTCTGTATTTTTTTGCGCTGCTCTCAATATTGTGAAAATACAAACGGCAGTTACGTTATGGACAGAAGTCACGTGCGGTAGTGACATACGCGTATCTGCTGCACACCAGCAGTGCTGCTTAACAAGTTCCAGACATACTGCACGGCTCCTATCACAAATATTTACCGAGACAGACTGTTGGGCCAGCTGGTACTGCATGTCGTCAGGTTTAACGCAAAGAAACAATGAAGAAAAATTGGAGACACCAGGTTACGTGTTTTCTGTCTTAACGTCTTCAGCCATTTCGCTATTGTTTCATTGCACTAAAGCTCAAGAGGATCCTTTGAAAGAGTGTAATGTTGGTCCTGCTTCATTGCAGAAAGCAGCACAAAAAAAAAAGGGACTAGAAAAGAACCACACATACATTTGCACCTTGTACATGTGGTCTGTTCCTTGCCTCTATCTTTTTGCCCTTCCTACGATGATATTTCGTGCTACCCCACTACTACCACCACCACCATCACCCCCACTACAGTGCAAGATGCATGAAAGAGTGGAATATCACTCAGAGATGGGTGTCTGCTTACCTTACGCATGCTCTCCTCGAGGTTCTCGACGGAGTTGTCGCTGGAAGAGGAAAAGGGGTTAGGACTGAGATTGCCCACTTTCTGCTTTAGGGACTTGGTCACCACCGCCAGCACGCCTTCCCTTTTGTGGGGGAGAAGAGGGGGAGCGAAGAAGAGAGAAGACGGGGAAGCATTGTCAGCAGGAGGTCGCGAGGGGTTGAGATGTGCAGAGAAAGACGGTGCACATGTTTAGAAGAGAAGACATTTGCCAAAAAATGGGAAGAAGAGCATGAGAAGAAATGAATGAATCAGATAAAGAGGGATAATGGGGGAGGTACAAAGAACCGGAGAAGCAAGGATAAACAATGGGAGAATGAGAAAAGAGCAGAGCAAAATGAAGGGAGTGTCAGGAAAGGAGAGCGTAGGGTGAATAGGAGAATGGAGAGAAAAGGAAAGATGAAAATGTGACCATGAAGAGATGAAAGGATTCATGTACCAGGAAGAGAAGGCAGAAAAGACGGAGACATGACAAAGGTGTAATGTCGGAACAAACGGGAGGACAGTAATACAGAGAGACGGAAAGAAAGAAAGAAATCATCAGAAGCCAAGCTCCTCCTACTCCTCCAATCCACAAATGATGTGCAGCATGTAGTACACACAGGGAACATAAATACAGACAGAAAGTGCAGCAAAATTCACATTTACTCGACATGCAGCCATCGACCTATGCATTTTTTGCTGTCACAAAGGATTGAAAGTACCCCATCTGGAGCACACAACTTGGATCACACAAATTTTGTCATACCGCGCATGTATTGTATGGGCTTCCTTTTTTTTTTTTTCGCACATATAACAGGGGGGAAACGATTAATCAATAATAAAGTGCCTTACCACATCAACATCGTCTCTATGCAAACAAACATCACAAAAGTTTGACTCTCTAGACACATGATATAGCAATCGCTTATGCTGGCTTGTGTTGACTAACTGTATTGGTGAATGATGATTAGTGCCATTAAATGATGGTGAGTCATGGCTAAATGGTCGTAAATGTTGGCTATCCAGTGTAGCAGCAGAAGCATTGTCTTCATTCAATATCACCTCCGTTGCTTGTCTAACCTATGTTTTTCTATCTTTTCTTTCTCTCACCCCCAAAAGAATGCTATGCAGAAAAGTCCGAACGTAATAAGCCACTATGGCAGTAGCTGAGAGCCTACCTGTCCTGTGCCTGCTGTGCACGGAGCTCGTGAAGTTCCTGCTCGAGCCGTTCGGAGTGCTTCTTGCAGCGCGCCAGCTCCTTCTCGTAGCGCCCAGAGCTGCGCAGGGCCTCTTCGGTGTTCTCCTTGAGGATGTGCTGTAGCGAGGCCATCTCCTCCCGGTGCCGACGCCGCTCAGCCTCAAGCTCATTCTCCTGCTCGCACTGAGCCACAAGCAGGAGCGATCGTGCTTCATCCAGGTCCCTCTGAAGCGCATGCAGCTTCTCCCCGAGGGCCTCGCGTTGCTGCCGCTCTGCCTGGAGCTCCTCTGCAAATTGAGCGGCGCATTGCATTGATAAGAGAAATCCCCCCCCCCCCCCCCCCCATAAATAAGCTCTTTATGTCAAACTACCACGCCTCTGCAAGCCAGCCTTCAAGGACCCGTAAGCAACCTCTGAAGATACAAAAACAAGTGCACTTTTCTCTGCCAACGTTTCCCATTTTTTCGGTGCGACTCACGACTGCAGTTTGTTCACATGATGTCACGAGCAAATAAGCTCTCGATTGGTTCATACACAAGGAATATAATATGTACATAGTCTGCTCCCCTGCCTTGCCATGGAGTGGCACGCCAATTCTGCCATGTCTTACATGACTACAGCGCACGATTGGCTGAGATCACTTCATTTTGTGTGTTTCCGAGTGCACAGGCGGCGATACCATGTAGCCGAAAACCACAGTATACTGACAGGCTCAATACTTGGTGCTCACATCTTATATGAAGAGATAGGTGGCCCTAGGTGCCCTTTAAATAACTTTTTTCATTGCTGTGACTAACAAGCTTTATTATCTGCGAAAAGAAGTAGTCAGCACTTTAGAAAAGCACTACCATCTTGTAGACAACAAATATTTAAAAAGTAACAAAGTAAAGATAACACCTATTGTAAGGGTGGTGAATGGGAGAAAGAAACCACCATCTTTTTTGAACATGGGGTGGTTTATAACACAGAAATCGAATTCTACAAATGGCTTCCTCTATCAGTATATTCACAAGATGTTATGGCCCATTTCACTCAGAACAGAACAGGAATTCATAGACAGTAAGGTATCATCATGAAAATGTTTCCGCATTGGTTCCGAGCCCAGGCTTCTGTTATTAACTTGTTTAACAAAAATCACATCTGTTTTAGCTACGTATGACCTCATTTTGTATTGAGATGTAATACATCATTCTGAATGAATTCAGCTAGAACCATATTTACTCACATTGTGCCAGCTTTTGCTAGTGTTGGCTACTCAGCATCAGCATTGTCAGCATCAATTGGGCATTATCAGCTAATGACAACTCACTTACTTTTAATGTAGCTGTACACTGCTACAACAGCAAGAGCGTCATCATTAAATCTCCATCCAACAAATGGGTCTGCCATCACTTCCTACTTGCCAGTTTCCTATGAACTCCCCTCTTTTTTACATGATGATGGAACACTACATTAATGCAAAGCAGTGGAAAATGCCCTATAATTGTGGCAGTATTTCATAGCATCCCAGAACAAAGTGGCATAGTAAAACACTGTAATATCTCAATGCCAAATTCTAAGCCAATAGGTACTCACAAAAAGCAGATAAAGGAGCTGGATTGTCCCCCAGCAACACGATGATACAGAAAGCCAAAAATGGCAACAACGTAGACAAACGAGCAGACTGTAATCGCTAGTCTCTCGTGCCGCAAGACGGCCCAGCATGTAAACCATGCATTCCTGATCAGCCTAGAAAAATAAGGGGTCTCCCAAAGGCCTACCTTCTTTCTGCATGAAGAGTTCCTTGAACTTTGCCCTCTTAAGCCCAAACTCTGTCTCCATCGTTTCTTTCTCTTTGCGTAGCTGCAGTAACAAAGTCCCCTCTTCAGCATCTATGCGAAATAAGAGGGTAGGGAAGGGAGTGTCGGCAGTAAGACAAGTCAGTTGAAAAATTCATGAAAATGTTTGTAAGATGCATTGCCCATCCACGAGACCTTGACAATACAAATGGTAGACTGTAGTACACGGCACGAAATGTGCAGCAACTGCAATTCTCCGCCTCAACACTGTTGCAGCTGTGCAGCAACAGCTTCTCGAAAAATACATTTGCTAACCAGATGCTACTTACAATAACACATACAAGTAGAGAATGTGGAGGCCTCAATTAAAGGTAAACTGAACATATGATGTGTTATATATATGTCATATATATAAACAGAGTAAAGAAGTACTTTAAAGCTGTTACTTAGGGTGGAAAGAGAAACATTCATAAGTTATATTCTAACCATCGATGCAGCCTACTTCATCTTTACATACATGAATTGCTCTTACACAATGACAATGTGTTGATACTTTACAAGTGATGCTACATAAAGTTTTGCCATCAAACAAATGAGTGACAGATTCCCATTTTATATATAAGGCTACATGTACACTTTTGCAATGTCCAATGCCACAGCACTCATCACGTTTCAGCGTAACACCTGTTTTTGCTGATAAGTGTCCCAGGCACACCTTTTGTGAGTTTTTATAATGAAACAGAAGAGCTGGTACAATAATCTTACTCAGCAATGCGAGCGTCGGCATGGCAGTGACATTCTTTGACATATCATATAACCTGACTCATTGAGAAATGCAGTGAAAAAAATGTTTTTACAAGTCTACATTACTACATATAGCAATGGCCTTAACCCGGTAAAGATAAGGCTGTTTCTTAGTTCTAGCTTTACAGAAGAAGCTGTAGCTTCAACAGAATTAGCTGTACCGGTCAACTGAGCCAAATCTGGCATGCCAGAGTACAAAATAAACACAGAAAGATGATTACCCTGGCTTGACATGCATAACTTTTCTGTGATATTGTAGTAACAATAAAAAACAGCTGTTCTACATCTCAAACAGTATTGTTCACCTTATGCCATGACTCTTTCATTCATGTCTGCTCACAATAAATATTAAGGAATGAGACAACAGCTACTAGAACAGCTTAGAACTACGACTTTTACTACAGATGAGAAACTTATGAGAATAAAAAACAATTTACACACTTTTCATCCCAACAAGCACTGCCACAATTGAACATGACAACAGATCCATGTTACAGAGTGTGATAGAAAACAGCACTGCACATTTTTTTCCTATAGACCCATTCCATGTTTGTAAACACAGGTAGACCAATGTCGACATTATGGGTAAAATTATAGCAACATCTGCACGTAACTTCCGCCACAAGCGCTGAGGACTGATGTGTGCCAACAAAACGACGTTGTGAGACGCCATAAGCGTTGTGAAAGCCTTAAGCGCTAAAGGCTGGGATGTGCGCAAACAAACAAAACTAAGTTGTGAGACGCGACTCACATCCAACCGCGACGCAGCTTGCCGGCATGCTGTTTTTTTTTTCTCGTTGCTTTTTTTGCTCGTTTTTTTTTTCTCGTTGCAAAAACCCAGCATAAACTGCAGTAGGCAGAGCATCTTTTGCCAACCAAAACAGCACCACCGCATTTTCGTTATGTAAGTTCGGTGGTATTTTTCTAGAGATGGCTGGCACTGATGTCACTAGTACCGCCTTGTTGAACCCCAACATATGAGCACATGACAATCCTGATGTCACATTAACATTATCGATGCATCATATGCAGGTTAATTCATTATTCCCACACAGGGAGGTTTCTGCCACCACGTTTTCACAATTTGTAATCAAAAGCGGAGTCCCAGTTCCTTTGACAAGCTACGTCTGTCACGTCCCGTGCAAGCCATCTATAAGGGTTTGCAGCATGACAGCATTAGAAACTTCACGCTCCTAACTTCTATAACTTGTTTCTTTCAAACAACCCAACAAAATTTGATTCCAACCAAATCCCACCTGCAGGTCAGTTAACTACATTTGGAGCACAAATGGTATTGTTAGATGCCGGTGTGATCATAATGGTGTAGAAACATGCCAGTGCTGTCCGAGACTGTGACATAGCGGCCCTTCTAGCTTGTTTACATAAGCCACAATGTGGCTTGCAATGCTGAAAATGTCAAGTCATTAGCAAACATTCCTATAACAGTCTTCGTTATGCACTTTGGCTCTTTAGATTTCTATATAAGTAAAAGTATGCTTGTAACTAGGTTTACGAGATGATTCGGTGAAATCAAGGCAGAAAGCAGCCATACACCTATGTAAAATAACTTTGTAGAACTAGATATTTACAATTGCCTTGTTTATTTACAATGCAAGAGCTGAAATATTTTTACAGCTCTCTTACAACCAAAGCCCACTTTTCAGGATGATATGCTGGAAATGCATGTCTATAAAAAGCCTGAATAAAAAAAAAGACAGGTACACCTGAGCTGCGGTGCCTTTCAATGGCATGAAGAGCCGGCTGCTGTAAAATGTGGACACTTTTACTGCCCTGATAAGCAAAAAAATTATGCCTGTAGTAAAAGGCTAAGCAGAATTTTTCATTGCTCACAAGTTGTAATGTCGCTAATGAAGGTTTCAGGTCCCTGAAGTACTTCATCTTTCGAGTTGCTATGCAAAATTTTTCATTGCTCACAAGTTGTAATGTCACTAATGAAGGTTTCAGGTCCCTGAAGTACATCTTTCGAGCTGTATTATAACCTTATATTTAATCCTGAGGCATTCCATTCAAGCAGTGAAGATTTCCATACCGGCGTGTTTCTTTGTACAGTACATAGTTCTTTAACCAAATCCTACAAGCTGCAAACATGATTCATGACTATTGAAGCGTGAACGAAAGGGCAGGTACTGCAAAGAGGTACACATTTTTCGGAATGTGTTTTCGAAGTTCAATATCTGGAAATAGCGGCACATGAAGTAATAAGGTGCCTATCAGTACTGACGGCAAACTAACCTGCACCAAGGTTGTGGAACCATTGTTCCTCGGCCGTCTTAACCTTCACCACTTCTAGTTAGCGCGACCTCGAAGTAACAATGTAAAACGAAAACGAACAAAAAGCTGTAGTGCAGGAACAAAAAAATAATGCCCTAGCTGGAGCGTGGCAGGTGCCCGGTTTGTGAAAGTCGAGTCTTAAACGAAACTGCTCACAGCTGTCGCGATGCTGGCGTGACGAACGGCCAAAAACAAGTTTGCGGAGTTTAAAGGTGGCAACAGACAGCGAAAAGGGGGTGCAAATGAATGGAAGGAGCTACAAAGCGAAAACGCGCCACGAAACATTTCCCGTTGCAGAGTCGCGACAGCCACAATAGCCAGCCCACCGACGTTTACGTTTCATTGTTTTGCACAGCTGTGAACAGCCAGAAACTTAAACGCGAAGCGTGCCAACGCCCACAACGTTTCCATGTTTTAGGATGTAGCAAAAGAAGAACATCGTCGGTGTCATGTCAATCAGCTGACGATCACTCCCATCGACCGTATCATTACGAGCTGTCGCTTCGAAAGGAATACGGCACCTCTCCGTTGGCACCGTCGGAGACGCTGGCAAGGGATTGCGCCAGCGACGGTAACGCAGTTTCCACGCTTTGACAAAGCCCCCAACTGCGGGATATTTGGATTCGTCTCAAGTTTGGAGGGGGTGACGAATCGTAGGGTCGCCAGTGATCAACAAAATGTGGTTTAAGCCTAAGGCCGTCGACAAAACATCGTTTCGTTGCGTGACCGAGTACTTACTGTCCGTGTCTCCGTTCTCAGATTGATGGTCCATGCCTGTAGCGTCCATGGTGATGAAATGTGCGTCACAGGGTACCGATTACCTCACAAGAGAAAATTTCGGAACTTCATTTTCGGGTTGCACACTCCGCATAGCGGAAGTCCTCTATGGGTGACAGAGTTGAAAAAAAAAAAAAAAAGTTGCACGCGATGTCATTGCCATCTGGGCTGCCGGGATTTGGTTTGTTCAGTTTCTCATCTTCTAGATTCGGTGTAACTTATCACGCAAATTGATCAATTCATAAATTACCTGACAGTATTACTGTGTTTCTTTAGTTTTACTTAGTATTGCTGCGACCCAAGTTATGCGGAAAAAGGTGGGTTAATCAGTTTCGGTTTCAGATTTCACGACGCGCAGGAGAACGCCAAGCGTGTTATTGGTAGTTCCTCAGTTCACGTTTGACAATAATTACACCTGATGTATGAATTCGACAATGGCGTGTTAATTGGTAAAAATACTATTGACTTTTACAGCAAGCTTTCTCAGTGGAAACTCTCAGTGGGGAACTGCAACGTTACACTGAAGACACTGCCACTTCTCTGAATGTAGTGCTGTGTCTTCTCGAAACGAAGTAACAAGCTTACTCTCACATGATTCAGTTATGTGTTTACTAACACATGTGTGAGTACACGCACACAGCATTCAAGTTACGGTAGAGCATCGGGCACGTAAGTCGAAGGTTCTGGGCTCATATCCCACCAACATAAAAGGGTGATTTTTCGTTCAATTTCTTTCAGTTTAGGTCAGAAATCGTTGTCCTACAATTAAAGAAACAATGTTGTCTCTGCCTTCCTTGTTTGTCGTTTTTTTTAGTTATGTTTAAAGAAACAAGTTCGACGAGAAATTCGCCTCGTTCCGTACGAGTCTATAAGATAAGACTAACACAGGACTAAAGAATGCGAAGTCTAAGGGCAAGTTTTTCCTTGTTAGACGTGACATTTGTGAGAACAGAAAATGAAGCGATGGAAAGAATTGGTGTATCTTATCTGTAGTAACTGTAATATACAATATTAAGGAATAAAAATGGACAGCAAGGTAAAGATAGCATGCTCATCGGCAGGGACAAAGCTTGCAACCTTCACATTACGTGGCCGATGGTGTACCATTTGAACTACGGTGGTGATCATGCAGCCGACCACTTTAGTGGCCATATGCTTGTATTAACATCAAACGGTGTTAATTAGCACCGTTAGTAACTATGGCGGAAATTAAATTTTTTTGTTCATTAATTATAGTGAGGGTTTCGTTTAAGATAACTTAGGGACTTCAGCTAGTATGTGATGGATTATTCATCAAAGGCCAGCTCATGAAGGCATCACGTGCAACGTATCGCCAGCAGCCATAAAAAGAGTGTTTCGCGCTTTTTAAGCACAATCTGTAAATAATTAGTGCAACATACGTTAGCCAAATACTACACACAGGGCATCAAGTATAATTTTAATCATGGCAACAGACATAAGTGCATGAGTGGAACAACAAAGAGAATTAACTATAAAGGGATTACGTTCCGTAAAATTATACAGATCAGTGAGATAACAACCTGCCTCGATTACTAGTATCCCGATGACGCACAGCATGGACAGAAAACTGCAACTTTATGCGTAACATATTTGATATCCTCTCATGTGAGAGCACCAACGAGAAATTATTTCCGGAGTATATGAGTAAATATTACTTTAAAAATAAATGCAATATGCGTTCACACGTCAAGCGTTAAGGCTGCGTCAAGGACGGCGACAACTACGAACAGGGTGACGACGGCGGCGCTAATGTCGTGTGAACAGACGCCGGTAGAGGGCGTGAATGAGAGGAAAGAGCGGAAGATGGTGCGCGTCGACTTGACGCCGCCGCGGCCGTCGGTGATTGGTCGCACGTTTCCCGCCAGCAGGCCGCTGCACGACGCGTCGTCACCGAGACGCCAACGCAACTTGCGCAGCTCTTCCAACTGCGATTCAGACGGCAAAGAAAGAAAATCCACGCTAGAAACAAACACAATCATTATATATATATATATATATATATATATATATATATATATATATATATATATATATATATATATATATATATATATATATATATATATATATATATATATATATTATATATGGCTGCGAACTATGCTTGTAGCGTGAGGTTGCAAGTTAATTCTATGTGGATGTCTAAGAAAAAAGCTTTTCTAGATCACAAGAAAAGAAAAAAAAACACTTGAGGAGTTTGAGGAATTATGATTATGTTTAAATACGAGAGCCTTAATTGTCCTTGAGCACGGCACCTGAAGTGCTCTGCATGCTAAGGCAGGCTAAAGCAATAGTCCTTCTATGAAACTATTAATATTAGGCCTGCCTGCCTGCCTGCCTGCCTGCTATCTATCTATCTATCTATCTATCTATCTATCTATCTATCTATCTATCTATCTATCTATCTATCTATCTATCTATCTATCTATCTATCTATCTATCTATGTCCGTCCATCCATCTGTCTTGGTAAAGTGGGCTTTGTCGCGCAAAACGTCATCTTGCGGAAAAGCCAGCTTTGGTAAGCGCTTTTTATGGCACTGATTTGATTGATATGTGGGGTTTAACGTCCCAAAACCACCATATGATTATGAGAGACGCCGCAGTGGAGGGCTCCGGAAATTTCGACCACCTGGGGTTCCTTAACGTGCACCCAAATCTGAGCACACGAGCCTACAACATTTCCGCCTCCATCGGAAATGCAGCCGCCGCAGCCGGGATTCAATCCCGTGACCTGCGGGTGAGCAGCCGAGTGCCTTAGCCACTAGACCACCGCGGCGGGGCAGCGCTTTTTATGGCACTCGTGCGAACTATTGCTTTAAAGAAACCCTGCAACACTTTTTGAGCGCGGTCGGAAAACGCTGCCGATCGGTACTAGAGGCTCCCGAAAACACGCGAGGCAAATATTGTAGCACACCACGCGGTCTAGAATTCACAATAAATTATCAAAGCCAGCTAAAACTTGCTTTCACTTCTCTCGAGTAACCACGCAATATGACCAAAAATCGCACGTAATAAGCCCATCTATCAGCCATTGGCTGATTTGAACGTGGCGCGCTCGCTCGTTACAGATATCACCGCGGGAAGCCCCTACTTGTCCACGCGTGCGCACGCAATCGCACTAAAAAAGCCGCGCATTCAAAAAAAAGAAAAAAGTGCTCAAGATCACGAGACGCGCATGACGTTTTTCGGTGGCCCTGCCATCCCTCCTTGCTTAGCTTCTAGTGCTTTAGATGGGACGAGAGAAAAGAGAATTCAATTGCAGCATGCGGCAAACCTTCGTAACTCCACTTGCGCTGGACGGATTCTTAAAACTTTTGCGGTGTTGATTTCGTGAGGCAATGAGCTCTTCCAGTGAATTCATTCTATCGTTACTTGAAAAAGTGTTTCAGGGCCCCTTTAAAGCAGGCGTTGCCCCATAAAGAGTCTTCCAGCAAAGAGGCCAGTTTTGGCAAGCTCTTCTTATCAGGTCTGCACAAACCATGACGTTGGAGCACGTTTTTCCATTCAAGGAGTTTTTTTTTTTTTGTGAAGAAGCCACTTCGTTTTTTATCGTGTCTGCACAGATTATCACATTATAGCAGGCTTTGCCTGACAAAATGTCTTTTTGCGTACAAGCCAGCTTTGACAGGCGCATTTTATCACGTCTGCACAAACCATCATGTCAAAGCAGGCTTTGCCGCACAAAGAGCCTTCTTGCGGAAGAGCCATCTTTGCGAAGGCAGTTTGCATGCGTTCGAATCACCCAGCAGCAAAATTATGACGCCCAACGTTGTAATCTGTGACACCGACTCGTCGTCTATCATCCCGGCGAAAAAGTATGGGTCTGGAGTCCTATTCACCGCCGGGGACTATCTGAAAAATCGCTGCAGAGGTATTTTGGCCCCTACACAGTTGTACGACGCCTGAATGACGTTAACTACGTGGTCGTTCCTCACAGCCCCTCGAGAACTCGCCAGCACAAACCGGAAATAGTGCACGTTGTCCGAATGAAGCCCTATTGTTTGGACTGATTCGCACTATACATCTACTGCACCATCTTTTGTGGTAGACCATCGGGACGATGCTCTCTGGTGGGAGGCAAATGACGCATTCAATATATGCAACATTAAAAGATCAACAAAGAGCCCGCGCAGCCAGAGAGAAAGACAAGCTTTTCACCCGATCGGTTTGCCAGTGTTCTGGTGTAATTACAGTGAATTATCCTGCATTTGATTGCTGCTGTTTTTGCGTAGGGACAATATACAGCATTTTTCATTGACTTACTGTCAATGAACCGAAAATAAACATTCTTGAACAAAGTGTATACTTTGTTTGGACGAGCCACATTTAGCAAGCGCTTTTTATAGCGTCTGCCCAAACCTTTACGCCAAAGCGGGTTTCGCCGCACAAGGAGTATTCTTGCGGAGGAGCCATCTTTGTAAAGTGTTTATCCGGTTTAGGGATGTACAATGCGGGGCAAGTGTTCCAGGCCACGATTCCATAGGAATACATGGGATAGTGGCCTGGGAACTATTGATCCCCCTTCATGTACGCATATGGAAGCGAGAAAAGAACAAAGCTGCAATTGTAAAATATTCTTGCCTGCCTTGCCTTGCATTGCCTTGCCTTGCCTTGCCTTGCCTTGCCTGCCTGCCTGCCTGCCTGCCTGCCTGCCTGCCTGCCTGCCTGCCTGCCTGCCTGCCTGCCTGCCTGTCTGTCTGTCTGTCTGTCTGTCTGTCTGTCTGTCTGTCTGTCTGTCTGTCTGTCTGTCTGTCTGTCTGTGGAAGCAAGTACCTGCTTCTGACCGATGGGGACAGTTCTCTGGAAGACCACGTTGATGGTTCGCTCGGTGCATGGTGGGAAAGAGAGTGAGCCCGGGTAAATGTAGTACTCGAGCGTGTCGTCCGGCATAAGCGACGACATCAAGAACTCGATGCTCTTGTGCTGGTTGCGTGCGCTGTCATGCAGCTCTTGCATGGCGTCCAGGAACGGAACCAGATCTTCGTTGTCGTCGTTTTTTTCCTGAACGTGCATTAAAAAAAACATATTACTCGGATGGATGTGGGACTGTCAGTTTTTCTTCCGGTGTTCCAAAGCCCTGGGTTGAGCTTAATGTATGTTAAGAGCAAAAAAAATAAAAGCAAGAAGTGTGAAATTTCTCGTTTCTGCTCTTACCCTGCTAGCATAATGTGGTGTGAGAAAAGCTCTGTAATGCACCGTGGCTTTAAAAAAAAGAATAACAAAGTTTCGCTACCATTTTTTGCTGTGCTAATATCCGCGTTTTTGTTGTCACGCTCTCATTTTTTGTGTTTTCATCTTTTACAGCCTGTAATACAGAACCTATATACGACAAAATAACACTTACTGCTTCCTGTGGCTTTCTACGATCTTGTACACATAGGCACTCACTATATAGGCAATTTTACAATCGACGCATGGTTGCTGACATCTTGGTCTGTTACACAATTGATTTCTAATTTTTCCGTGTCATGACGTGAAATTAGCGACATGATGAAACGTCACATGTGCCGATCCAACCGCTTTCATGCGCGAGCGTCTACCGCAGCACTGTTCGTTTGGTTTAGGGAACAGGGTAAACCCGATACGCACCATGTATTTTAGGCAAAGCTTATTTACCTTTTTCTCCATAATCATAAGAGTTACACTAATTGTTTTAATATCATTGTGATCATAAGCCATTCCTCTCCTTACTGAAGTAGATTTAGTTCTAAAAATTGTAACGCTAATTTTTTGTATTTTTTAACTTTACGTCCCTAATTATCACTCGGTAATAACAGCTGGATGTCGTGGTGAAGAACATTTCTCACCCAACAGTAATTCTGCTTCGGCATATTTTTATTACGTTATCTAAATACCGGGTAAAATGTTTCTAGATACTTTGATGACTGAGATAAAGAACCAAAAGTACAAAAAAGCATGTTTTGATGTAATCGCATTTAAAGTGGAAAATGTGCATTATTTCTAAAGTACAACCAGATAACAGCAAATTGATGAACCTGTTCAATACCAATACTAATCACCAATATCGCCTGGCGAAATCGCCTGTCTAAATTCCAAAGGAGTTCAGCACATTTACACGGGCTATATTGCTATTTGCACGGAAAGTAGAACCGTAGGTCTGAAAATTATTATACACAAAAGTAATGTGCAGCAGTCTCGGCAGAAAACAGCCCTTTGCGATAGGTGGAGAGACGCTGGAAGTTGTAAAAGAATGTGTCTACATAGGACAGGTATAGTAGCCGCGGAGCCGAACCATGAGAGTGAAATAAGTAGAAGAATAAGGATGGGGTGGATCACATTCGGCAAGCATTCTCAAATGATGAATGAATCTGCCACTAACCCTCAAGAGGAATGTATATAACAGCTGCATATCGCCGGTACATACCTAGGGAGCAGAAACCTGAAGGCTTCCAAAGAGGGTACAGCTTAAATTGAGGACGACGAAGCGAACGATGGGAAAAAATAATAGGTGTAACCTTAAGAGACAAGAAGGGAGCAGAGTGGGCAGGGAACAAACCGGGTTTAAAGATATCATAGTTGAAATCAAGAAGGAATGGACATGGACCGGGGGCATAACGCGTAAGCAGGATAACCGCTGGTCATTAAGGATAACTGACTAGATTCCCAGAGAAGGCAAACGCACGAAGTGTAGACAGATGATAGACATGTTCAAATCGAGATGATGAGTGCAGGCATAGATGTGTGCAACGAGGGAGGCAGAGGGGGGGGGGGGGCTGCCCCTTCTGGTAACCTTAAAGAGGGAACGCAGAGTCTAGCCCATGCATTTTCATAGTAGGAGAGAACACGACAATGACCCTTCGCCACCCCAACCCCGCCACCCGTGAAAGGGAACCCTGCGAAAGTTTATGGGAGTACGCATAGGTTGCGCTCAGAAATATGTGTGTTCTTTCTGCGTCATACGCTAATACACTACAACATCCAGTTATCGCTATTACGCTCTATTACTGTTTATGTCACTTTATTGTTTCTTATTTCTATATCCTATTTTTTAGGCATTTGATTGTTTACAGCCCATGTCCTCACCTCAAAAAGTATGACGAGCACTAGCAGGCCGTTGGCCTCCTTGAGACAGTCGTTCTCGTTCAACAGCTCGGTGGTGTGGATCAGTTGTACCTGTACGAAAAATGCCAAGACTGAGGGAAATTTGGTGCTGGGAAACCCTCTTTGTTTTTCTTCGGTTTTCTGTTTCTTTCTTTATCTTTTTCTTTTGCCACTCTTTTCTGTTCTTTTTCTTTATTCTTATTGTTTGAATTTTTCTTCCTAGTTTATTTTTTTCTTTCTCTGTTTTTTTTTCAAATCTCGCTTGCATACTCTCGTTTCTTAGCGTACAGCGTACGACAGCATACGACAATCAGAGCCATCGTCATCATCATCATCATCATCATCATCATCATCATCATCATCAAGGCGCTCAATGAACAAGGGGAAGAAGACTACAGTGTCTAGAGACACTGTAAGAAGACCTCTTTGGCACGAGCGAGTGCTAAAATTACTACGCAAGAAATGGCTTTGCCTACGGTACACTATTTCGCTGCGTTACGCCACCACGCGGTCATTGCCTACGACAACCCGACTTCCTAAAGTGCTGCGCACTACAAAAAGTTTTACTGGCCCTGAAGTGCCTCATCTATACCCTTTAAATCAAATAGGCAGTCTGTAATTTATTGTGAACATAAAAATGACCACGATGTCTCTAAGTTCGAATGAATAGCACTGTCAACTCGTGAGAATCAGTTCGCGCAGGCTGTAGTGGGCAGAGCAGGCAAACTATTTCCTGCGCGCTTGTATACCTCGGCGGCGAATCCCTGGTTCTCAATGAAGTGCTCGGATCCCGACTGACTATCTTTTCCAAAGTGAATTGTGCCCATGAAGAAGCTGTACTGGACCTGCAGGGGCCCGCCGAATACACCGAGGTCCACACCGAAAGGGTAGAAGAACACTGCGCAGAAAGCAATGTTTGCTGTTGATAGATAGATAGATAGATAGATAGATAGATAGATAGATAGATAGATAGATAGATAGATAGATAGATAGATAGATAGATAGATAGATAGATAGATAGATAGATAGATAGATAGATAGATAGATAGATAGATAGATAGATAGATAGATAGATAGATAGATAGATCGATAGATAGATAGATAGATAGATAGATAGACAGACAGACAGACAGACAGACAGACAGACAGACAGACAGACAGACAGACAGACAGACAGACAGACAGACAGACAGACAGACAGACAGACAGACAGATGTCTAGTATTCACTGGATACAAAAAAAGGACCCACAGTTTCACCGAAATGGCGAAACAACAAATGTGATAGCTAACGCACTAGAGTGCCAGCTGAAGTAAGACTAGCAGCTTTATGGGAAATGCTCTTCCGGTGTGTGCTTCCGGATTCCGGGCACCTGTCGTTAAGTCACCGGCGTTCAGCTGCGGCATGACACACGCGCAGCTGCACATGGTTACGGGAAATGTACGCGAGCGAGGTTTCTCTTCGGAACAACTAACGTATCGCTGAAGCTGTTTGGCGGACGTTGTGACGACACGCCATTCTGCATGCTTCTCACCCTGTGCCTTCTGCTCGCGTGAATAATATTAAGACGACGTAGACAAAGTTGAAGCGCAGCTCACGCACTCGCGTTGATCTTTTTCTTTTTCCCCTCATGCGATGCCGCAGAGCCGATGTGGACGAAAGGCAATGCAATCGCGTGACTTTGGCTGAGTTTCATGTAAGCAGCCGCTTACATGAAACATGGTTTTATACGTACAAGAGTAAATATATCTCTCTAAGAAGTCTGTCAGTCCTGCGGGGCCCGCGCAGCAGCCACAGCATTAGCTGGAGGAGCAGGGAGCCCGTTGTAAACTCTCTTAGGGCACCTACTTCAAGTAAAAGTGCGAGGCGTTTATGAAGCAATATGCGCCTACATGGCTGCAAACTGAGTTGGTACTGGGGTTGATCAGAACAATGACGAACAATGGCTTAGACCTTCGTCTATGATGGGAAGCTTCAAATTGCCTACTCAATGTGATATTCAGATGGTGTGAAGTCCGGCATGATTCTACTATTCTGCTACGCAACGGGACGTTTCGACCGCGAACGCCATCCCTGGCCGTAACAGAGGAATCTCGTTGATTCGTCTTTCGCGAGAACCGAGAAATGGAAGTATTATCTGAAAGCAGTATCGATATTTTGAAAAGAAGGAAAACATGCATATTCCGTCTGCAATTTATCTTTGATTAGTAACCTTTGAGCTGTTCAGTTTTTGCTGTATTTTTTTTCAACGTCGTGAAATAAATTCTTCTGATAAGTAAAAAAAAAACTGCAGTTTTCTCACTCATGTCTGCATTGAGGAGAAAGCTACGAAGTGTGTCGAAGTGTTCGACTGCGTCACACGCTGGCTTTCAGCGATCTTTTTGCCGCAAAAACGACGCTGTTGAGGTCTCAGTAGCTCTGGATCGTACATATTTCGGCTTTCTATAACGCGTTTCGAGCTGTTATACCTAATAATAAACAAAGTAGTTCGAGATATGTTGGTCGAGAAGCACTTTCCCGGTCCTATTATCCCATATAGCGCTATTATTGCTATTATACTATTATTAGAGCAAGAACGTTACCGTAATGTATGCTTGAAAACGCGTTATTTTCAATGGAAGTTGGCCAGTAATTAAAAAAAAACATATCACGCCAAAAGACGCATTATACAGAATCGTATCAACGAGATTCCACAGTGCAATGAGCTTGTAAAGGATACTCTATCGAGGAAGTTCAAAGCACTGGCTTGCCTGTGTGGTAGAATACTTAATTTCCGTGCAGAGTGCCTGCGTTCGCTGCCGGCTCGCAACCTGGTTCTTATTATGGGCGATAGCGGTGACGGACAACATCTTCATGTTTCATTCAATGATATCCGGCAAACACTGTTCATTGTTTATGCTGCGCTGTCTTTAATTAACACGATAGAGAACGCTTGGAGCGATGAGATGGCTGCTTACGCGTCGTCCCGACCCTCTCGATGTCGATCTGCAGGTACGAGTCGTAGTTCAGGAACTGGATTGGATCGAAGTACTTGTACTCGGACTGCGCGAACAGCACCGAGATGGGCGACTGCTGGGAGCCCCCGCACGAGGGGTACCGACGGTGCCAGGCAGTGTGATCTGCGCGCGTTGTCCTCCTCTGTACTGATAGTTATGCACGTAAATGCTGAACGATTTTGTACTGTTTCGCGACTATAGACAACTTCACAAGGAAATCTAGTATGCAAGAGAAGCGGTACATCCGAAGCCAGATTTAGGCACAACTTCTCGTTAAAGACATTGATAGATAGATAGATAGATAGATAGATAGATAGATAGATAGATAGATAGATAGATAGATAGATAGATAGATAGAGAGATAGATAGATAGATAGATCGATAGATAGATAGATAGATAGATAGATAGATAGATATGATAGATAGATAGATAGATAGATAGATAGATAGATAGATAGATAGATAGATAGATAGATAGATAGATAGATAGATAGATAGATAGATAGATAGATAGATAGATAGATAGATAGATAGATAGATAGATAGATAGATAGATAGATAGATAGATAGATAGATAGATAGATAGATAGATAGATAGATAGATAGATAGATAGATAGATAGATAGATAGATTCTTACTGAGAATGTCTGTGGTGTCATACTTCAAACAGAGCGGCAGCGTCTCGTAACTCCAATTTTCGACCCTGCAGCTTCGGTAGTTTTCTGAAAGTTTAGATGACATGCCGGTGACGTCACTTTTGGTCACAGAAAGGAAAGTTTGAAATGGGATACCACCGTACACAATAGAAAATTGCAGTTTCACAATCAGCCGACTCAGTTCCTTCTCGGGGGCTCATGACGACTCGGTTGTAACAAGCTTTACGGGCCGTGAACTCGGTAGCGAACAAGCGCCACAGATACGGAGATGAACCGCACATACAAAGACGACGATGATTGCAAGCCAGAACAGGTCATGATGATTGACAGCTGTTCAAATGAGGATGAAGCCCATAATGGATGCCTAAAATAATTGTTTTCCTTTACTGATCATACGGGATTTTAAGAATTACCTGTGGCAGATAGTATAGTTGCAACCCTCGAATTCGTTTGCTCGAATAGGGAGCAGGAGATCCAAATACATACTTAGTTAAGAAATAGAAATGCACTACATATTTTGGTTACTTTCGTTCTGACACATCGTAATATTGAATTCCCAAAACGTAGAGGGGAAGGGGGGGGGGGTTCAAAAGTTCCCAGGCCACGCTGCCGTAGGAGTACATGGGACAGTGGCCTGAGAACTTTTGACCAGCATTCCAGCAAGGTTCCTCGCAGCGCCCTCCTCCTCCCTATTATGTAAATGTATAGAGCCGACTTTGTGCTCACCCCGATTCGGAACAGCCCCACTTTTTATTATGTGGGGATGACTTTCCATCCTCCGCCTCCTCTTAGTTGACAAGAGGGGGGGGGGGGGGGGGCTGCCACCCACCTTGCGCTTCCCAATCCGCGTGTCTATGCCCTCACCCTCGATCTATGTTCCCCACGTGTGCACGCATGTACCAATGCATTTACGTATGATTGATTGATTTGTGGGCTCTAATGTCCCAAAACCATCATATGGTTATGAGAGACGCCGTAGTGGAGGGCTCCGGAAATTTCGACCACCTGGGGTTCTTTAACGTGCACCCAAATCTGAGCACACGGGCCTACAACATTTCCGCCTCCATCGGAATTGCAGCCGCCGATGCCGGGATTCGATCTCGCGACCTGCGGGTCAGCAGCCGAGTACCTTAGCCACTAGACCACCGCGGCGGGGCAATGCACTTACGTATGAACTTCTCGTTGGTGCACCAGTGGTAGACATCGGCCATCCTCGACTGCTGCGAGTGGCTGACCGCCGCCTTGGACACTGAAAGGGTGAGTTCATGCCACGGGCTTACTACATTTTCGGTCTAGCTTAAAGATAGAAGTCGCCAACAGTCACCGTCACCAATGAAATGATCTCCCTCATCATTAAGAATAGTTACAGCACAATCGTTAGCGTTACCCCTCTTCCCTGCTGACCGCGTGAACTATCTTATCTAGGTACATTATGTCATGTACTAAGGCTCATACTATAAAAACAGCTTGCACCATTCAGAGCGCCTTTCTTTCGCTCAACAATAATCGTCTTCTGGCTTCTTGCGTTTCCTTTACTTTATGCTCACTTCTTTCCTGTACAAAACGTTCTATTTATCTATCTATCTATCTATCTATCTATCTATCTATCTATCTATCTATCTATCTATCTATCTATCTATCTATCTATCTATCTATCTATCTATCTATCTATCTATCTATCTATCTATCGATCTATCTATCTATCTAAATAGCTAGCTAGCTAGCTGTCCGTCTGTCGCAGAAACTCACAGCAATACAAAACATTTATGTATATTGTATCTCTAAACCGATCTGCCTGCCTGATCGCAATCCACAGCCCTTCGATACGCCATTCAACTTATAACCGATGGTTCACTTAAAAAGGCCTGCACGCCACAGAAATACTTACGGTAGGTTCCATGTGCCGCGCAGCGACTAGAACTGATGATCATGTAGACGGAAGTGTATGACATCTGCGATTATGTCGACAACACGAGCACAGTTTCTTTAAAGCTGCAGGGTAACAGTATCTCGTGTACGCTGTTGCGAATCAATACAGCTATTTAGAACCAGTTGGCACTGCAGAATATAATGCACTCACCCACGTGCGTAACATTCGTCGTACGTGCATGCTTGGGATTCTTCTACCTCGCGATGCTGCTCGAGATGCCTCGATCTCGCTGTCAGCGAAGCAGGGAAAAGAAAAAGAAACCCATAGAAGAGGGTCGCTCGAATACCGAAATTTTTAATTGAGTTCAAATGATCCAAAAGAGAAACTTCTGAAATCCTGCAGCCGCTTATCATTTTTCTCGAATTAAAATAAATCCCTTTTAAGTGATAACCTCACATTTTACAAACACGGGAAATGACTGCCACCCCACCGCGGTGGTCTAGTGGCTGAGATACTCGGCTGCTGACCCGCAGGTCGCGGGTTCGAATCCCAGCTGCAGCAGCTGCATTTCTGATGGAAGTGGATATGTTGTAGGCCCGTGTGCTTAGATTGGGTGCACGTTAAAGAACCTCAGGTGGTCGAAATTTCCGAAGGCCTCCACTACGATGATAGTTATAGCGTGAGAACAAAACGACGACACGGAGACAAGAAGGAGACGAAGGACACGAGCGCTAACTTCCAACTGGGTGTCCTTCATCTCCTTCTTGTCTCTGTGTCGTCGCTTTGTTCTCGCGCTATAACTATCGTCATGCCATACCAACTAGCCCATGCTGCCACACCCCTCCACTACGGCGTCTCTCATGGTTTTGGGACGTTAAACCCCACATATCAATCAATCAAAGTGAGTGCCGGAGGCACCCACGTGAGTGATGAAAAAAAACGAACATGTTATGACGTCACAATAACGTCGCAGGTCACCAGTATTTGTGACGTCAACATGACGTCACCATCGCATGACATCAACGCTTGGTTGACGGGAGGGCTGATCCCAAGGAGGTTATACCACCTCCTTGGCTGATCCCGGGGCCATAGAGTTTCCTAACGTTGATTAGAGGGGACTCTGGCGCTTCGGTCGTTCAACCACCTTGGGAATGATGGGTAGTACATGGATCTGCCTAGTCTTCGCGATCACGGGCTTCAAACAAACTTATTGATTTCCTTATTCATGTGCATTGATATTGTTTCGAATGAAAAAAAATAGACATACCATTGTGAACTTCGTGAACCGACTTGAATTGGTGAACTTAGACGGTGAACGCGGGGAAGCGTAACTGTTAATCCTTTTGTGAACTCCATCTTGCGGCGAAATGGACTCCGGTTACTTGTTGCCGAATGGAGCCGAAAGAACGATCATTAGACAAGTCCGTGCACTATGCACGCTTAACTCGACGCGTGAGTTTCCGCTTGCGATTTCCTGTAGAGGAATGGCTCGACTACCTTGCATGCATGTTAGTAGGTTGGTGTGTATACACAGCAAAGTTTAAAAATTTTGGCAGATCCCACGTACCTGGGGATCGACGTTATGCGAAGCATGTCGAGGGAAGGTGACCGTGTCGCAATTTTTTTGTTGACCGGCGACACGTCATGAAATGACGCTAAATAAACTGTCGACTGCGCCATTGTAAAGGGTGAGACTCAGAGACTACGCCCGTTCGCTGGGCCGGTTGTTTTCTTGCTTGCTTGTTCCTTTCTTTTGAGGCTCTCACCCACTAAGGGGGATTGGCCAAGAAGCCGGTGGTTAATGCAAGTCAATACCTTTAGATTTTCTACACTAGGGGAATATGATCACTGTGTTTTGACTGTGAAACTAATTTGGCGCAATGCAAAAAAAAAGAAAAAAAAGGGGAGAGAAATAATAGAATTTGTTGAATATCTGAGGTGGAATCGTTATATGAAATTCTCCTGAAAGTTGAATCATTGCAGTGTATCAGCTAAATAAGAAGTGGCAGTGTGGCTAGTAAAATTCGAGAGCTGATCGCTGACTCAGCAAGGTAATCTTCTTGTGTTATATATGAATTCGCAGAGAGCCCCGCAGATGTTCCTGTCGCTATGTCCCAATGAAGTGGCCCCAAAAGACAAAATATTGGGAGTATTAAGTGATATTCCTAACTTTCTGAATAAAATTTCGAAGCAGTTTTTTCTTTGATTTTTGAATCGGTGACATGTGATAAGAAAATGGTCGATATGTTCAGGTTCGTTACAGCTTGAGCACAGAGGGGATGGCACCAGACGAGACCTGTTTAAGTAGAAATTAAGAGGTGGTACACGGCAACGTAATTTTGTTACCAAGACTTCCAATTTACGCGTGGGACACCATTTATTATTCCATGTGAAGTGCAGGTGCGAGAAATCTGGATTCGGTATCATGGTTTTTTGATGAGTCTTCAAGAAGGGAAAGTTTTCTAAACCTCGCTGCTGTTACATAAGCTGTAGGAATCATGATTGGCACAATCGGAAGATCAAGAGATGTTCGCGCAAGTTTGTCAGCCATCTCGTTTATACATATACTGCGATGGCCTGGCACCCACATCATTCGCACTAGACGAATGTTTGCTGGGATTAATGATTTAAAAGTCTCTAGTACTGCTGATGTCGACGACGATGATAAGAATGAACACACGGAATTCGAGTCAGTCACTAACACAGCTGTCGAATGAGTCGCAGGAAGTTTACGAATAGCTAGTATAACGGCCATTAATTCCGCTTCAAATATTGGTGTATAATCTGGGAGGCGTAATGAAAATGACCAGAATAATGAGAAAGAAAAAATACCCACACCTGCCTTCTCGCCACTCATAGATGCATCCGTTGCAATTACTGTATTAGTACCTAATTGAGACAGGTGTTGTTCTAATAAACCAATCAAATATTTAGAGGGCAAGTGTTTAGCGTTCATGGGGAAGATATCGTCAAATTCTATTTGCACTTGGCCGATTGGATTGACAGATGGTGTGATCTCGAATATATTGACATTTAAAGCATCTAGAAGTGTTTGAACAAATAGCACTTGGGGTTTATATACACGGGACCAATGCTCATTGAAAAAGACACCAAGCTCGGCAAAGAATGCAAATTGTCGCCTTCTTAAAGTGGATTCAGAAAATTTTAAATAGGTTTTCACTGTTAAAATACGAAATCTGCAAGCAAGGGTGGGTATCCGAGCTTCTTGATACAAAACATTGTTAGCTGTGAATTTTGGCACACCTAAACAACTACGTAGGGCTTCCCGCTCTAAGAGAATGAGGGGTTTTATTTTGTATGCTGGTCCACCAGAGAATAGTACACATTCGAATTCAAGAATCGGACGAACGTACATGCGATAAATCATGATCAGCGTATCTCTGCGAAGACCGGAACGGAGGCGGCCAAGCCTACCTATCATTCCAACAGCGCGTGTAGCCTTAATTTTAATATATTTAATGTGGTCACGCCAGCTCAGTTTTTGATCGTACAGTACACCTAGATATTTAATACAGTTAACCTGGGGTATTATTTCTTGATGGTACTGAAGAGAAATAGTAACTGGTGCGTCCAACGGAAAAACTATTATAGCACTTTTAGTTACGTTCAGGTTCATATGAATTTTCGGAAACCAGGTTTCCAATGTTGCCAAATAACACTGTAAAGTCGAATGTAGTAAATAAATATCGTTGTCAGATGCAAAGAACGCGATATCATCTGCATATACATATACTTGTACCTTATCACTCAGTGGTATTAAACTTAACAAAATGTTAAATAGCATAGGCGATAGAGCAGAGCCTTGAGGAACACCTCTCGTTTGGCTATACTTCGGCGTGGAAACACCTCGTTGGAAGCAATAAAATTTTCTGTCTTTAAATTCGTATATCCAATTTGTTATGTACTGCGGGAACGTAAGCTCTTTTAGGACATTGATAAGAATAGCATGTTCAACACTGTCATATGCCTTGGCTAAATCAAGGGTTACTAGGGCCGCATATTGTCGTCTGTGCCGAGCAAGCTTTATACGAGCCTCTAAATCAACATGCGCCCACCATATAGAGTAACCTGGTCTAAATCCAATCTGGCACGCACTGAGTATCGCATTATCTGTTATGAGCTTCGTAACTCTAATGTAAAGTATTCTTTCTATTAACTTAACTACGTGTGATGTTAAAGCGATTGGCCTAATGTTATCTATCTGCATTCCTAGTCCCTGTTTTTTAAGAAGCGGTATTATTTTTGCAAGTCTCCAGGCAGGAGGTATCCAACTATTTTCAAGTGAATAGTTGACAACGTTAAGGAGGTCTTCAAGAGAGATGTCGAATAATATTTTTAACATTTCTGAAGTGACGCTATCTGGTCCAGGACCTGTGTTTGGCAGAATACGAACGACGTGCACAAGTTCATCCCTACTTACTTCAATAAAATCATTTCCGAATGATGGTTTCGCACACTTTATTTTGATTTGTGATGTAAATCTCTTCTCCAATTCTATTGCAATTTCCGTTAATGTATCTTCCAAATCAGTTGGAGAAAAAATAACTTAGTCAATATTTACGTGTGCTGTAATAGCTTTACGATTACGGAGAAATCTGAATAGAGCTTTCTTGTTGCCACTCTTGGAAAATTAGCTGTACCGTTTTTCTTCATAATCGTCTTTCGCTAATGAAACTGTTCTCCTAAAGGTAGCTTTAGCAAATAAATAATTTCTCCAATTAGTCGGACATTGGTTGGTGAGGAGTTTTTTTCCGTACAGCGTTGCGGCGTCTATAATCTCTGGCGCAATCCGCATTCCACCAGGCAGATATGAATTTTCCCTTTGTTGAAGATATAGTGAACTGTGATTTTTTAATTGTACACTTTAGGGTGGAACAAAGGCTCATAGCTTTCATATTTGCTTCCATATTGGGCAAGGAAGACAGCGTTGACTGTAAATTCTTTTTAAATTTAGAGTAGTTTACAAAACTTTGCACCTGGCGATCTACCGTCACTAAAGGAATGCTGACTTCAAATACCAGGGGGCAGTGATCACTACTT